CTTAAGAAAGTGCTGTGTTCAGTGATGATAAACTGAAATTCACATTGCTCACTGCAGACGTGCAAAAAATGTTGTTTCTACTTGGATCAGCATTTACTTGAATATTTTTGAGTTTGCTCTGAACACAGTGCTGCTCTTTTCATTTTGTGCATTCTGGCAACGTTTCAGAGAGTTTCTTGGAGACAGAAATGTTCACTATTAAGTGTCAGTTACACAGGTATATGTTTACCTTCTTAGACAAACTTGAGGCCTGTTATAGTTCAGATGGACTCAGTGTCACTTCATGTTTGAGAATAGCTGTATTTCTGCAGTTCTACTGAAAAGCTATGCTTTGAACATTCTCAGAAAATATTTACTTCCTTTTCAGGTTTATTTTCATGTCTTCTGCTTTTTAGTAATGTGGTTAATATCACGGAGTTAAAGAAAATCCCATCTACGCATGGTCAGGGCAAAAAGGAAAGAAGGACCTAAGTTCCTCTTCTAAACTGTATGAAAATTATGTCCTGGACTCTAATCATTCGTCTTTAGATGTGTGGAAATTGTTCGGTGTTCAAAACTCTGTATTTGAGAATATTGAATGATGCTATCTTCTGAGATATATGTCAGTAATAGTAAAGTATTTTTGAGGATTTAATTTTATTTGAGCATGCGTACATTCATTATTATTCTATAATTCTATAATTCCATTCAATTCTATAGTATATTCTATATTCTATTATTCTATAATTCTATACTAATTTTACTATTGCAGAAAAAAATGTGGAGAAGCAATCTCATTTAAGAGGATTGGGGAAGAGCATATTTAAAACACACACACACTATTTTTGACAAGAATCTTAAATAAAAAGACAACCCCAAAGTAAATGTGAGAATGCAGATAGCTTTGTTGATTGAAAAGAGATTAGATGAACACAGGAAGGCCTTTCAAGGGGAAAAAAAAAAACAATCAGAATCTTTTTTTTTGTATTTTCTTTTTTTTCTCTTTTTTTTTTTTTTTTTTTTTTAGTGTGGACTTGCTCCTGCTCTGGTGATGGGGAAAAAAAGCAGTACAGAGGAACTGCATGGATTAACCATTTCCTAAAAGTTTGGCAGATACAGATCCCCCTATTTTAGTTTCCTTCTTATTTTATTTGATTCTAAACTTGTGTTTCTGAACATTTTATATTAATTGTAGGTCATAATAAAGTAACACATAATATAAAAACAGCATGTATGTATCATGTATTTTTATATAGAACAGAATAGTGGGGAGGAACCATCAAAGTTGACCACTTCAGGGCTAACTCAGAGCTAAAGCATGTTATTGAGAGCGTTGTCCAAATGCCTCTTGAACACTGTCAGGCATGGGGCATCTCTAGGAAGTCTGTTCCAGAGTTTAATAACTCTCATGATAAAGAAATGTTTCTCAGTGCCCACCTGACCCTCCTCTGGCAGATCCCTATGTTGTTTCATGTTGCCATCAGTTCCCATGAGCAGAGCTCAGCACCTCCCTCTGCATCCCCTTCTCAGGGCCCTGCAAAGAGCAGCAAGGTCACCTTTCAGCCTCTGTTCTTCAGACTAGGCAATCTGAGTGTCATCAACCTTTCCTCATAGGACTTGCTTTCCAGCCATAGAACAAGCTTTGTTGCACTCCTTCTGGATGCTTTCAAGGATCTTGGCATTCTTTTGATGTTATGGAGCCCAGAACTGTTGAGGTTGCACCAATGACTTTTTTTTTTAATTAGTGATCAGTTTCTTTTTTCTCAAACTGTATCTTAAAATCAGGAACATTTACCAGAACCCTGGATGTATCTGTTTGGAATGTGTAGTAGAGCTCTTAACTTTGGGCATCAAACATTCAATGAAATACAACCACTCAGCTTTGGTCATGCTCATTCTACTGCAAGAAGTAGCCTGTGTAATTAGAACCAAATACCCTTAATACTGAGCGCACTTACTGAACCTAAATCTGTGGTGAACTAATGTTACAAAGCAGTTGTATCAGACCTTTCAGAAGAGCTATAGTTGAGCTGACTAACTTTTCTCTTCCTAGGCAAGTGTCCACAGGTCAACCTAATAGCAGTAAAGGAATTGTGCCAGCACTGTGCAGGGTATCATTATGACATGATGCAACAAATATTATAAGGACAAGGATCATGGAAAGGTCTGTAGGAGATACCTTATATGACTTAGGAGCTGAATGCTGCAGGCAGTTTCTCATTACAGATTTTTCTTTTTATAAAGTCTTTTCTTTTTTTTCCTATAAGAAATAATATTCTAAGCATTAACTAGGACAATCCCAATGCCAAATTTTGGTTTGATTGGTCTTTTTGTCTTCTTTCTCCTGCTGCTTCTGGCACCCTATAGCCTCCTTAAACAATTAAAATAGATCTTTAGATTTAAATAATAAAAAGGTGCCTTCAAAGGCAGTGAATCCCCTGAAACACAAGAAAATGTTCATTCAAGAAAACCACAACATCTACAAAAATCTTTCACCCCTTCATCACCACGGGAAGCATTCTGACTGAACATTTCTTAGTTCCCTCTCAGAGTGTTGGGTTTTTTTTTGTTTTTTTTTTGTTTTTTTTTTTTCTTCCAACATGCTTAAACGGTCTCCTGGTTTTAGTTCTTTAGGAGAAGTGGAAGTTTCTGAATTCTTGACCTTGTGATAATTCAGTAACAGCTTCAGAGAGGGATTTGTGTCTGCTCACTGTAAGCCCTCAGAAGAGCATAACAATTTGTAGATATTGACTGGAGAAAGACACTGGGAAAAAAAATGATCCCTGGCGGGTACTATTTCAAGGTATTTAGGAATGAGAGCAGTACAAAAGTAGCTCCTGAGAAATAGGAATAAATGTGTTTTAACAAACAATTCTCACCTATTATTTAAGAAAGTAGAAGGTAGAAGACTTATTCCACAAAGTTCAGCAGAAAACAATTCTGCTGGTATTAGTTGTATTTTAAATTGGGGCCACATTTTAGACACTTTTTCTTGGAGAAATCCCACAGGATAACTTTAGATGTTATTTCGTTAGCTAATCACTCATTTCCCAACATCTGGTTTCTATCTTAGCCAAAGTACTAGCAAACAAAACTCTAAAAACATATGCTCCTGAAGACTTCTGTGTGTTTTCCCCATCACTGGTGGGGTTTGGAGGGGAGGATACAGAGTGTTAATGAATCAATGATGAAAGATCCTACTTGCTAATCCAATCTAATGAAATGTTTTCAGTAAATTGTCTCAGTCAATGCATGAAAAACTTGTTCTTGAGATATAGTATGGCTAAGTTCTTTCTTGTTAGGTTATTATTTTTTTTAACTTAAGGGTTAATTAACTTTTCTGACCCTTTTTTCAGTGTGATTCCAGTGCTGTAACCCTTCAGGTGGTTTGCTGAAAGATTCAGAAGATGTTTCAGAGCTATGGCTACAGAAACTAAATTAATCATAGGCATTTGAATGAAAACAACTTTAACACCAAAAAAGCACTTAGGTTTTCCAATGTTGGTCTCTAAACTTAGTGCAACACTTAATTCTCTCTTTACCATAATCAAAATTCAATGTGCGTTCTTTCTTAAATGGCATCTGATGTGGTATCTCTCTTCAGCTCTTTGTGGTTTCCTGTTTTTCGTACACAGATGAAAGTATCTGCTGAGATCTATTAAACTATGCAGTTTATCATGTCTGATTTTTCAGTGTAAGCTTCCAAGTAACATTTAGACTTCTTTGCGTGACTCAGTAGAAATATAGGAAAATGTCTTTGGTGTTATTCAAATTGTTATTTGTTTTAATATAGTTTAATTCTGAAATATTTGTTATGCAGTGCCAACTTAAAATAGTTGCTCTTTTTCTTGAACAATATTGTAGTACCAAGTAATATGTATTTCACGTAAGGAAATGCTTTATTGTGGCCTTTCTAGCTATCTTGACCCTCATAAAAATAATGTAATGTAAACTAATAAAAATTGCAAGAAAATGTTAATCAGTAGGTGAGCCCTGTGTCTCCTCTTTTGACAACTAGCAAACATTAAAAAATATTACTTGGAAAATGTGGAATGTTAAGTCCTGAAAATAGTTACGTATCAATTACTGGTTATATGCTGGTTAATTCACATGTTTTTAAGTAACATATAGTTTGCTCTCAGTTCAAGTCAGAACCTTTGTAAGAGAAGGGGCTATGGCTTAGCAAAATTGGGATTCAATACTAAAGACTTGAGTAAAAGAACTATTAGTGAAGAATTTCTCATAGATTTGAGAGTGATAAATTGGAGTACTTTAGTGTGATCAGCCTCATATCAGGTTCCAGTTGTAAGCACTTGGTTGGCAAAATAACAAATCTACAATACCTCAGCCTATACAAATAGAAACTGAGTTTGACAGATTGTGGGTTTGCATTAGGGAAGATAACTTTAATCTCATTCTACCCTGATTTCCCATGTTCTGCCATGTTCACTACTCTCCAAAAATAATCCTCATTGTGCCATAACTTGTGAAGATGAAAATTTTAGAAAAAGTCTTCTAATATCTATGTAACTGTCATGGGGTATAGCAAACGTTGGCCTAGTGGTGATGATAACTGGATGATTGTTATCAGAAGGTTCTTGGCCAGTATTTAACAGCCTAAGTTATGAAAAAAGGTTCTGCAGTAGATGCTAAATTGATGTTTATCATTCTGAGAAGGGAGACTGAAGAAGAGAGTTTTTTGCCAAGAACAGAGGTGGTCTTTCATGTTAACTTTGGGAAGGTGTAAGCCTTGTTGCTCTACCTGCATGGTAGAATATTTCAGTTTCCACAGTGTTTTCCATCATTGTGCTATTGAAACTTGAATATTTATCATTGCAACATAAGATGTCATTTTGTTCCCCCGTGTTTTAAAGGCTCCTTTCAGATAACTGGATTCTTTTTGTCTGTTGAAAAACCTAATTAATGCTTATCTACTTCAAAAGTCAGTCTCTGCTGTCTAAATAAGTTATCAATTTTTTAATATGGGTTTTCATTAAATTTATTACTTCCCCCCCTCACAGAACTATAGTGCCATGGAAAGTGTTCAGGCAGTGCCTTCATGAAGTTCATCAGATAAGCTCTGGTTTGGAAGCAATGGCTCTTAAATCTACTATTGACTTGACCTGCAATGACTACATTTCAATTTTTGAGTTTGATATCTTCACTAGATTATTTCAGGTAAGACTTAAAAATTTTAGATATTTGCATGACTTTGAAAACTTTAGTGACCTGAGGCAATTACCTAGGGGTCAAGGAAGTTGGATTTTTGTCAGCACCCACAGCTAAAAAACTGATATCCAAAAGAGACATTCAAGCAATACCAGCTTTATTTCTGCACAAACATAGTATGATTGCAGTGTCTTTATGTCTGCTGTTTGCATGTTTCACTAATCTTAGATGCATTTTTAGAAATATTGACCTTCAGGTAGCCTTCAGGTAATTATCTAAATTTTGTGTTTTGGTTATATTTTTGTATCTACATCTATTTAGATTTAATGTTTCTACCAGAGGCATAAGGAATGTTACCTATAACTTTTTTTTTTTTTATGTTTAGGCCTGATTATTATTAATTTTTTTTTTAATAGACAGATTTTTCCCATTAATGCTCCTCATTCTATCTAAAATGGAGTATCTTTGGGAATAGCACTAATATGAGGGAATAGTATTATTGTCAATAGATAATATTTATCTAAAATAAGCTTTGTATGTATGTTACAGGCCACTGCAAATCTTGTGCTCCTTCTACAGAACATAATCTAAGATATTCTTTGAGTATTTGAGTTAACGTAGAAGTCTGTGCAGGCTTGCATCCATATTAGATGAACTGATTCTAAATTTGTCAGTTTGAATTTTTCTTTTGTATGTAGTAATCTTTGACCTATCCAGTGATTTAGTTGGTCATTTACTTTTTTAAACAACATACATAAATAAACTGTTGCATTATTCTTTTGCCTCTTGCAGATATGTTCAAGTAACAATTTTTTTTACCAAAGCCATGCCATATTTTTGTTCCCTCTTCCATAGTGTTATGTGTTAATCTCTTTTTAGCTTTTTTGGGTATGCTCTTCTGGGAAAGGTGACCATTACAAAGTTGATATTAAGATCTGGAAGCAGATGATTAACAGTTTTAGTTTAGAGTTTTGATTTTGATAATCTCTTCTCTTGTCTGAGTCAGAACTATATCAAAGTTGAAAATGTTAAGGTGTAAATAAACTGTTTAATTTAACCACAAACATTGGTTGCTTTTTAAAATAGTCACGTGGGCTACAGATCTTTCAATAAAATTTTGGAGGCTCTTTTGATGAAATAAAATAAACTGTTGCTGTTCTAGCAAAATCCCTCTAAGCTTTGCCCTTTATGTGCAGCTTGATACAATCAAATGTTCCAGTCTGAACTTTGATGCCTTGTGAGCCATTTCTACTCTGTCAAAGTTTCTTGCTTTTATTCATTGTTTGGCAAACCGATCTTATTTTCAGATCAATCAAGCCCAGATCTTGCTCTCAGACTTCACTGCAAATTGTCTGAGGCCTATTGGCTGCAATATACATCACTATGAAATACATTTATTTGAAGTTCCTTTCTGTAGAATTTGATCACCTTTTTCATTAAGCTCACAGCTAAGAAGTTTGTTGTGCTTAGGTGTTTCTTTTATTAGTTTGATTAGTTTTTAATGTGCATATCAACTATAAAATTAAAAATGTAACAAGAATTGAATGATCAGAGAGGTAATATTTTTTTCTGACCCTGTGTAGGGTCCTGTAGATTTTGGTCAAGTTCAGGACAGTAGTCTCAAATGAGATTTATTTAACTTGAATTTGCATTGCTTAACTTTGTTACTAGGCCATGGTTATTTTGATTCATTTCTATGCCTGATTCTAGGAAAAAGAAAACAGCCGTACTGACATCTGTAAGGAGAGAGGACTGGCTAGGATTAAATTTTAGTGTAATAAAGAAGCAGGGAAAACTTTATCCAAACTAATTTACCAACTTGTGCAATAGCTGCATAACTGTTGAGGTGAACTTACACTGAACTCGGTCTGAGAATCTCTCCCAGAGGTTACATTTTATTTCTCCAGTTTTTAAACTGCTTCCTTAACTATGTGTGCCTACACCCATGGAGAGAAAATCCCAATTGTTGAAGTAATCAAAATATTGCTTTGCCAACTGTGGGTTGTTACAGAAAAGCTACATGTTAATGATGCTTATTCACTGAAGAAAGCAAGACTACATTCTGTGAAGATCCTGTAAAAGTGAAGTTGCTCCCCCTGCCTCACTGCTGTACATGTGCACAACTCTATTGTTATCTCTGACCAGAGATAAAGTTAGCATGGAAGTACATGTGGGTGCTTGGAACTAATTCCATCACTGTTAGTATGTTCAATGAAATTGTCCTTTTAAGCAAAAATCTTTCAATTGAAGCGCACAAATCTTTTACCATTTAAAATTTCCACTTTTCTAATAATCTTTGTGTCTGAAAGACAAGCTTAGAGTTCTTGCCTGTTGATTTGCAGACCTAGTGTCTTATCATTTACATGTATCGCAGTAGCGGATAAATCTGCAGAGAATCCAAGCATTAGAGGATGAATCCAAGCATTAGAGGATTATACTGTTTACTTATAAGTCTGACACTCGTGATTAACTAACAAATTTGCATAGGTGTTGGTTTTTGTTGTTTTCTTTTTTTGTTAGGGGGATTAAGGGATGGAATCATGTACTTCATACATAAGATTTGTTGTACTGTGGTAATACAAAGCTTCAAAGTACTGAATGTTTGAATATACTTTTTGACTGACATGCACTTGAGTAATACAAAAGGTGAAGGTATGTTTTTGTGATGGAAATGTCAACGTCGGTGTGGTGAAGGGGCAAGGGTCAACTCCCTTTTTTACTTTAGTTAGAATAACTAACATTTTCAGTGTGATTAAGCCTTCTGGCATCCATCTTCAGTGAGCGTGTAGAGAGATGACAAGATGTGGTATCACATCTACTGAAGTGAATTTTTCTCCTTTGTAGTTTGTACAAATTTGCTCATTTGACCTCAGTACTGAAACCTTACTGTTCTGTTCCACAAGTTTGATATGAAGATTTTAAAATGCATGTCTTCATACATGTTTAAGTAGTGGTTAGGGTTTGCCTAGGAAATGCGTCATCATCTCAAGTTGAACTTTTACAATACTTTGCTTAAGTGTGTCACTTAAGTAGACATTTATTCCCTGCCTCACTAGCCTTTAGAAGTCCCTTTTAAAAGGAATTTGCGGATACACAGTAACACTAGTCTCTTCTTGTCTGTTGCTTGACTTCTCCTGCCCTGATCTTTTGATAAATATATAAATAAACATCTCTCAACCACAGAGAGGCAGTTTCTTATCTTTTCAAATGCTGGCTATGAATACATAATATATTTGTGTTAATCCACTCCTTAAATATCATCCCTCTTCTATGGTGGAGGAATACTTTATATTTGAAGTAATAGCGTATCAGGCATGTTTCACCAAGTTTGTGAAGCATTTGTTATTGAGATCAACAAATACTGCAGTATTTGTCAATATTTGTTTTGTTTTCTGACTGCAATATTTTTATGATAACTGAAGAAAACAATAAAGAATAAGGAAAGAAATCACAGCTCAAATTAGTAGCTTTATTAGGCCTCATTTCAATGTTACTTATCGTTAACTATGAGAATGCCTCAGAACCACTCAAGAATAAGCTCACTTGGGTTTTTATGAAACTGTCGTGCTCTACAGGCTCCTACTGAATTATGTACTTAATATTTTATGTGACTATGGGCAGGAGATCCTGCAAATTCAAAATCTTCAAAATATTTATCCAAATATTACTCTGTGTATTATCTCAGGGCTCCATATTGGGCAAGTTTTTTTTTTTTTTTTTTTGTTTATTTTTTATGTTTTTAAAATGATCTTGATTCAGCCATCAAGTGCTGCCTCAGTAGATACCAAGTTCAACGGGGGTGTTGATCTGCCTGAGGGTCAGAAGCTCTGCAGCAGGATCTGGACAGGCTAGGCTGATGGGCTAAGTACATGTCATCTAACTAGGCTGAGTTCTGGATGCTGCACTTAGGTCGCAACAATCCATGAAGTGGTGTAAGCTTGGGGAATTGTGGCTGGAAAGTTGACAGAAGAAAATAACCTGGGGGTGCTGATTGCCAGCCAGCTGAATGTGAGACAGTAGTGTGTCCGGGTGGCCAAGAAGTCCAAGCCATCCAGGCCTGCATAAAAAATATGGCCAGCAGGATGAGAAAAGTGATTTTCCCATTGTACGTAGCCCTGGTGAGACCAGTCTGCATCTTGAATATTGTGTTCAGTTTGAAGCCCCTCCATACATGAACGATAGCGAGATGCTTGAGTGCGTGCAGAGAAGAGCAACAAAGCTGGTAAGGGAACTAGAAAACTAAATGCACAAGGAGCAGTGAGAGAACTTAGGTTGTTTAGTCCAGAGAAGAGGAGGCTGAGGGGATACATGGCTCATTTATACCTACCTTGAAAGAAAGTTGCAGTGATGAGGGTGTTGGTCTCTTCACAGGTGACAAGTGACAGGACATGAGTAAACGGCCTCAAAATGTACTAGAACAGGTTGGGTGGTCATGCATTGGAACAAACTGTTGAGAGATGTAGTAGGGTCATCATTCCTGGAGGTATTAAAGAGATGTGTGAATGTGACTCTAAGGGACATGGTGTAATGATGGGGAGTAGGACCAGATCAGTGGTTGGACTTGACTTAATATCTTTTTCCAAACTAGATTTATTCTGTGATTCTTTTTTTGAATGAATCCTTGCACCAGAGCTGAATGTATAGGACAATCTTTTCTACTACTTAGACCTTAACCAAAAGTGTGTATTTTTCTGCTGAAGTGAAAACATCGTGGGTCTTTTTGAAAAATTGACTTAAGTTTTATTAGAAATATGTAATTACCTGGTTGTATCTATTTAATTGTTTGTCTGATCTTTTTAGCCATGGGGTTCAATCTTAAGGAACTGGAACTTCTTAGCTGTGACACATCCTGGATATATGGCGTTCCTGACATATGATGAAGTGAAAGCAAGATTGCAGAAGTACAGCACAAAGCCTGGGAGGTGAGAAGTTTGGCTGATTACAGCTTTCCAAATAAGCATACTATCTCCGAAGTTTATATTTATCTCTATGTAGTTTATCTAAATTCATACTTCTAAACTGTGTAATACTTATATTACAATAATGTAGGTGTAAATTTTTACCTTTTTTTCTCATTAACAGTAAATCAGGTTAGTAGTAACATTTTTTTACATACTTAGGATTTTATTTATATCAAAATATATTTTTACAAAATAATTTAATGCTAACTGCCAGAATTCCAGATTCAAAAACTGCTGATTTTTTTTTTTTTTTTTTTAGATTTTAAGACTTAGGAGTTTTGTAACCATGATCTATTTTTTATATTGTAATTCTTCCATTGCTGTGAAGCAAGCAACATTTTAGTAGCCCATGGTAATCTTATCAAGTACAAGTAAACAGAAACAAAAAAAAAAGTGAAATGTCATTGCTTTTCCTTTCTTTTGACTTAGGTGAAACAAGCAATATTGGAAGGTGTTTTTGGAAATATAATCTACTTTTAAAAATGGGTCAAATTTTTACTAACAGTAAAATTCATCTTAGACTAGTTTTACCTTTAAGTTCCCAAGCTTTGTTGCCTAATGTCTAACTTTTTAAATTTGCTGCAGCATCACGTATACATATCTAAAAGCTCATCATTTTGAAACTTGTTAGAGAAATATAGCAATAACGTGAGACAGATATATGTACATCTGTACTTGATTTCTTCTGATTATTTTGACTATCATGTTAAGTTACCTATCTGATCAAGTGCAGGTGCAAGAATCTTGTGTTTCCAGTGAGATAACTATTTTATCTTGGCACTTGTGAGCTATATTATGGACTTCAGATAACTAGGTTGATTTTTAGAATGATTGCTATACATTTTCTCTGATTAACTCTGATTAGAAAAGAGAAGTAATGGAGAAATTATCCAAAGTTGCCGTAATGCTTCTTGTAAGTTATATATAGAGAGTTAGTTTTAAGATAACTTTCTATTTGAATACTGCAAGATGACTTCCTGAGTTGTTGAGGTGAAATATTGAATTTTAAATGAACAGGAGATAAAGTGAAGGTACAAAGTAAAATTACATTTGTAATCAGTTTAAAACATTTTGGAAAGTACAAGTTCTGCTCAAACGAGTAGAATCTGGTTACTTCAATATAATGTTGACCTTGTTGAAGTTTTTAAGAGCCATGCTAAACTTCGGAGGGCTAACATTTCTCATTTAAAATTGTTAGGGTATAAAGAAAAAAATGAGCTATAACTAAGAAAAGCTGTTTTCTAATACAAAATTGAGTTTGTGGTATTTCTTTATGGGATGCTTTTCTAAATGCAGTATTTGCATCTGGCAAAGGTGTCTGACATTGAAAAGACTAGGCTTCTTGGTAAAAAGAAAATAATGCCCAATGCCCTTGCCAATAGTCTTCCTTTTTTTTCCCTGCTGTATTCCCTGTCTGCATTACATAAACTCATAGAAATCAACTGTACAATAGAGAAGTATTTAAACTTCAGTCTACTTGGGTTGATACTACCTGGTATTTTTTGAAGTGAAGAGATACTTTTTCCATCCTGTTCACCAACTCAGGTACACCCAAAATTAACACTGATAGTAGAGCAGTTTTTATTATTTATTGTTTGTACTTCTGTTGCATTGAAAGGTGTTTTCTGTTTCTGAACAAACTTTCCACTGATTCGTATTCATGGCCTGTGTATGCTCAAATGGGTCATACTGTAGCTGTGGATAGTCAGTAGTATAATATGTTGTCCTAGAAAAGATTTATGATCTAAATGTATGTAGGACTATTCACAGTAAATGTGCATCTTTCACTTTAAGAAAAATCAAGCAAATGAAAATTTGGGTTGAGGGAGATACTGTTATCCTCTTTTGTTTATGGGGAACTGATGGAATAAAAGATGCTGGTTTATTTAAGGTTATGTGCTAAGTTTGCCCAAGTCCATCTAATGCTGACTTTTTATTCATCTTGTTTTTATCAAGCTACATTTTCAGACTGAGTTGCACTCGCCTGGGGCAGTGGGCCATTGGGTATGTGACTGGTGATGGGAACATACTGCAGACCATACCTCACAATAAGCCTCTGTTTCAAGCTTTGATTGATGGCAGTCGGGAAGGATTGTAAGTACAAATTCCTGTAGTTACCATAGGAATTAAATCCTGGTTTTCTTCTTCTGTTGCTTCAGATGGGTAAATATTAAAGATCTTTGAAGCAGAAAATCTAGATATGACATTTGCCATTCCTATGGAGATTAAAGGCCATCCTTTTTATTCTTATTTCCAGGTAATTCCATTAACCAAAGTTAACAAAAGACTTATCTCATAGTGGATAAATTCTAAGAAAATAAAATTGGGTAGCTGTCACTTGGATTATTTCCCAGTAAGAGTCACAAATGCACTTAAGCTTATTGAGCAATTACTACTGCCAGTTACTCATATGTCTAGCTCTGGACAATGATCTGAAAGCAGTGTAATTGCTTTTTTATATATTGTGCAGCCAAAACATTTTCAAGGTTTGAAGGGTTTACTGAAAAGATTTCTAATTATAAAAGAATCTAAGTTTATGAGAAGTACTGTTTGTTTTCTAGGTTGGTTGATGTAAATACTTGGTGTCAAAATCTTTTTTTTGTTACATTATGACATATCCTCATAGTTATATATATGATCATAATGAATTAAAAAAAAAAAACAGAAAAATTGATCGGTCCTCAAAAATTGACAAATTTATTTGCAAAATTCCAGTTTTACTCAGTTGACTTTAATAATTTTATTTCAGGCATGATTTCGTATTTTGAAAGACATCAAGTTACTTTAGCTATTGCCTTTGTAAAATAAAACATACTTATTACAGTAGTGTTACTACTACACAATTTTCATGATCAAAATTGGGCAAACAAAAAATGAAGCTGAGAATATTAATTCTAGATGAAGTTTTTGTACCATATTTAAATGTAACTTTTTCACGGTTGGCATTTAATAACCTGACTTTCAGGAAACTGCTTCTGAGTTAGAGGTAACATAAATTTCAATATAGAACAACTCTATAATATCATTAACTTACTGTTTTCCCGCGAGATTGAAAAGCTCCCATCTGTTCTTGCCCTAAAGTCCAGTCTGCATCTCAGATTCTCAGTGTAGATTCTTGTCAAAATATACAGATGTTCACAAATGTATGTTGCTATCTGTTCTGCTGCACTGGTTGAAATAGTCTTCAGGGTCGCTTAGTGCCATGCTCGCATTCTGAGATCACAGTGAATATATCCAAGTGTAAGTTCACTGTAAAATGAAGATCAAAAATAATATTGCATCTAGATGCTTCAAAAAGATGATCTGCAATAGCTCATATGCATTCTGCTGGTGATTATGATTGTGATGTTAACATCTTTCTAATGCTTTTAAAAGTGAACTTTAGCATGTAACAGAATTAACTTGTAGCGGTTAGTTGTACACAGATGTTGAAAGAGATGACTAATCTTGAAAAAGATTATGCATTTTAGTTAATGACTGGTGTAATTTATACTGAAATTTCATAGGCATTATTTATGTAACAAAGATGAAGAAATGTGCATATTTATAACACTTTCTTTGTGATGCAGCTATCTCTTCCCAGATGGACGAAGTTACAATCCTGATCTGACAGGATTATGTGAACCTACACCACATGATCACATAAAGGTCACGCAAGTATGTTGCGCAGTTATCAGGTTTTTTTTAATCTTCACTTCCCTTAGGCCCTTATCTAGTAGGGATAATAAGCTTTTTTAAAATGTGAGAAATGAATTCATGAGAGTGAAAATGTATTGTTGATAGAAGGGCTTAAATGAGGAAGAACTTAATAACCATTTAAACTCTAGAGCCAGTGATGATGCAGACAGTATGCCTTGGAAAAATTTGTTTATTCTACGGCTCATCTATGTGAGAAATGAGTTAATGGTTGTTAAAGATTTCTCTGATATTTGTGTCGTATGTTTATGTAGCTTAGAGCTTACTTGATAATAGCATGTAAGTGTAAAGGAATAAAATCAAGATCAGTTGACAGTTTTTAAGCCTGAATAAGTATACTACAGCTTGTTGACAGATCCAGGAAGGAAATTTTAGTTTATTTGTTTAAAAAAAACCAAAACCACAAAACAATTCCCTGGTCTCTTGTTTCTTCTGTTTATTGTGCAACTCAAAAGAGAGATCCATGAAAAGCAACAGAAATAATTAAGTGCCTAAAGTAACTTGCTTTCCAGAGAGCAGACCATCTAGATGTTTGTAGTCGTGTTAGGTGATGATGTGATATTATACTGTGCAGATGTTTGATGTTCAAGGAATAGGAAATAACCACCACAAGACAAAGGCTTGATTAAAAAAGGTGCTGAAATTAATACTAGAATGTTTAGTTATGCAGTTGCAGAGTATTTCTCCTTACAAAGAAATACAGAATACTTGAGGATGTCTTCAAGGAAAGACATCAGACTAGATGCAACTCTTTAAGACGGTACTGTTTTTAGATGATTTTCCATTTCATCAGAGCAGAAGGGTGATCTGCTGTAATTTAGTGCAATTGGGAGTATTTTAGAAATATTCATTTTTCTCTGGTATTACAAGGAATACCATTATGAAAATATTTTTCCAAAATATCTGTTTTGAGAGAATTCCTACAAACAATTACCTGAGTAAGATGTAAGCCCATTCACCATTCTGCCTTCCCTCTTTTCTCTCCAAACTTAGAATAGTAATGAAAGAGATATCAGGTATGTTGCAGAAAAAGTTTTTCCTTGCAAAAATATTATCCTTACTTTCTCTCAATGATTGTCCTGTTTTTTGCAAGCCAGTCATCCTGTATTTTGAGTAAAGTGATTTACTCAAAATCAGTTCAGCTGATTCTGAACTTGTAGTTAGGAAGGATCTATTAGTTAATGCTCATAGTAATTTAAACAGTCTGAACTACATGAATGCTTCCTTAAATAATATCTTGCTGCAGTAGTTTAAAACTGTCTTTAGGAGCTGTTTAAACTATTAAAAAAAGTATAAAACTAGCTCCAGATCTAGATTGCTGCAGATGGATTCTTTGCAAGAGCTCCACCATAAGCATCTTTAGTACACACTGACTACAGCTACAGATATAAGCTGTCTCTATTCTCTTTTGCCTGACCTCTTTTACTGAGCAGTAGCTACTTATTTTCCTGTGACTTTGATTATTCTTATTTTAGCTTTCAAAATCTTTTTTTCTTTTCAAGACAAAAAAGCTTTCTAGAAATGCTTTTCCTAAGTCTAGATATTCTAGACTTCAGTTTTTAATCTATTATTTATTTTGCCTGAAAGTGTTCTTGTACCTTACTGTCAGTCTTGTAAGGATACAAAGTGCTCAATGATCTGTTCATGTTGCTGTGTCATCTTCCAGGGATGCTCTTGCCCATATTACCCTCACAAGAGTTATTTTCTTCAGTGGAAAACACTATCCAAGCTGTAGGTAGAAATGCCTCATTTGTCAATTTTTAGTCCAGTAGCTTTTGTTAGTTCTAAACTCATACATAGAAAAAGAAATCTCCATTTTACTTCCATGCAGCACTGAATTTCTCCCTTTGCATGTGTTCCTTATCTTCCTTTTAACCGCAACCAAGGAAAAGCAGGATGTATGCTTTGCATCAATATACTACTTAAAAGTTATGTTTGACACACACATAAAAAAAAACACAGATTTGTTACCTGGGTGTCCTGGTGGACGACAGGTTGGCCATGAGCCAGCAGTGTGCCCTTGTGGCCAAAAAGGCCAATGGCATTCTGGAGTGCATTAAAAGAGCATGGCCAGCAGGTCGAGGGAGGTGATCCTCCCCCTCTACTGTGCCCTGGTAAGGCCTCATCTGGAGTACTGTGTCCAGTTCTGGGCTCCCCAGTACAAAAAAGACAGGGATCTCTTGGAAAGAGTCCAGCGGAGAGCCACAAAGATGGTGAAGGGCCTGGAGCATCTCCCCTATGAAGAAATGCTGAGTGAACCGGGTCTGTTTAGCCTTGAGAAGAGAAGACTGAGAGGGGACCTGATCCAGGTCTATAAATATCGAAGCTGTGGGGGGCAAAGTGGCGAGGCCAGACTGTTTTCAGCAGTGTGTGGAGACAGGACAAGGGGAAATGGCCAGAAGCTGGAGCATAGGAAGTTCCACACCAATGTGCGCAAGAACTTCTTTAGGTGAGGGTGACGGAGCACTGGAACAGGCTGCCCAGGGAGGTTGTGGAGTCTCCTTCTCTGGAGATATTCAAGACCCGCCTGGATGCCTACTTGTGCGACCTGGTGTAGGAAACCTGCTTTGGCAGGGGGTTGGACTCGATGATCTCTGGAGGTCCCTTCCAACCCCTACGATTCTGTGATTCTGTAACTCAAGGAAGCAATAAAGTAAACGTATCAGTAGACTATCTGAGTATTAATAGAGTGGGTTGGAAAGTAGGATTCAGAGAAATGTTTGCCACTAGTAGTGCTGAAGTATATTCTTTATAAACAAATTGCAGTAAAGAAATAACTTGACTTTCTTTTGTTACAGGAACAGTATGAATTGTACTGCGAAATGGGTTCCACTTTTCAGCTATGTAAAATCTGTGCAGAGAATGACAAGGATGTAAAGATTGAGCCTTGTGGACACCTTATGTGCACCTCTTGTCTTACGGCATGGCAGGTACAGTCATAGTTCAGTGAGAAGTAGATGAATCTCTGTTGCATCTCTGTTTACAGTGGATTTACTGTTTCTACTTTTTTAGGTACTCAGCAAGAAGGTTCAAGGTCTTACCTATTTAGAATGATATATATATTTAATTTACTGGAATAAAATCTATTAAAAACAAGGTTTTAGGAGTCATTAAAATCTAGATTTGTAGACTGGCCATTTTCTAACTTGCTAATGTGGAAATAATTTTCTAAGTATCTTCAGACAATGACAGATGGACTCCTGGTGCTAGTTGTGCCACCAAGGTCACTTCACAATGTGTTCAAGAGGAATAAGAGGACAGGAAGCAATCAGGAGTGAATAATTGACCAGAGAGGGTTTTATAATGAGACAGGGTGTATTCTCTCAGAAGAGGAATTAGTAGTAAATGTCTCATAAGGCTCAATGAAAAATAAGCTTTAGAATTCCTGTGTTTTGTGTTGATAAGATATAAATCACTAAACCCACCTAGTTTTTAGCTGATTGTTGGGGTAAGAGGCTCAACAGAGAGAAAAACTGTGATATCAATGTCATTTACAGAATATTTCTGAAAACACATAGAATTTCTCATGACATGGGTTGGGATGTTTTCTGTCTTGTACGTGAACAAAAATTGCATTGGCAATCCAACTCAATGAATCAGAACTATCATTTGACTTTTTCTTTCATTAGCAATAAAACTGTCTGAAAAAGATTCCTGATTTTCAATTTTTTGTTGTTTCTCTTTCTGAAATTTGAATTTGCACACAAACCCTTCCAGTTCCCCTAGACAGGAAATTCTCATAAGGTTCTCTTTTACACATGCTCAGATAGGAATATTTGCTTCATTACTAAGTAGCTGCAGAGAGCAGAAAAAAAAGTATTCCTGAAATGAGAAATAATTATGGAATACCTTTTTTTCTGCTCTTTCCAGTTTCATTTTTAATGATAAACAGACATCTGATTATGTTAATCTTCGAATTACAAAATTCTAAAATTGTGACATCTATAACTATTTGGTTATGTTTTTTTGTTGTTGTTGCTGTTTTATTTTGATTTAACTTCTTAGAAACTGAAGGTCCTTGCACTTTTGGTTGCTAGGTCTCTGATGTTATGGTAGCAATACATTCATTAACAGTGTTGAGCTAGGTATGTGCTCCAATTCTGGACACTCAAGAAGCTAACGTACTCAATATTTTGGTTAATGGCTAAGAATTCAGGAAGAACATGACAAAACATTTTAGGCTTAGAGAACTGACCATTTCAAAATCATCAAGCTTCATCAGAACATTGCAGTCAGTGAAAATCGGCCAGGTACATTTTAGATTTCATTACAAATTTAACTTTTGTATAATTAGTGAGACAATGAAGAAATATTGCACTGTAGCAGCACCAGCTGTTGCAGGCTTCTGGGATACCGTTTAATTGCCAGCATAATGCCTCATTAGATATGCTTCGGCAGTCCAATACAGATGTTCCCACTAAGCAGAAAAAATGTGTTATTTAATAAATTGAGTAAGCAATATCAGATCTGCATAGAATGCCAAGGATGATTCAGTGTTGTTCACCTATAGGGAGATCAATTTCTCAGTTAAGTCTTGGTTTAACAATTTTACTTTTGTATTATGTAACAAGATGAAAATTTATTCCTAATGAATCTCTTCTGTAAAAACTACTGTTTCGGACTTAATTCTAAAAACATATGGACATATGTACTTTACTGTAAGGTTCACAATAGCTACTTTCTCCGTGTTCTAAAAATGTAGACAAAACTATGTATTCATATAGAATTTAGCTCTCAATTTCATTATTCATACTCTTGAATATGAATCTGCTGTTGTTGGTCACTCAGTATGTTTTGATGAATATGTAAGTTTTGAAAAGAGAGGAAATTGCTAGTGCACAGCTATTTGAAAACACTGACATAAGATAGCCTTGCAATTGCAAAGCTCTGTACCTTATCTATACAGATATTCTGTTCGGTTGGTTTCTTTTTTGTTTTTGTTTTGTTTTTGAGGTTTTTTTCTTTGTTTTTTAAGAACATCAGCCATTAACATGTATGAATAAGGGAGAATTTCTGTTCACTTAACAGTGATTACTTCAGTAGATCCATAAAAATCCGATGTGTTCCTTGAGGTAATCATAAGTGATGTTGACTACTTCTTTGTAATTAGGACACAGCACTGCTAGAAGTAGATTACAGGGATCTTTGCATACAAAATGAAAATCCAATACTAACTCTGTAAATATATGTGATTGTTGTCATGAGATATCATTTATAGTTATCTGGCCCCAGTTCTTCCACAGATTATAAACTAGGAAAAAAAGAAAGGAATCTGTCCATAAGTTTGAGAAATCAAAAAGCTGTGCTTGCTTGATGACATTTCAGGACAGTTTGCTTTAGACATTTTGGTAGGTTGTTTAGAATTTATTTTTTTATTTTCAGTATAGAATTGTAGAGTGGTTTATTTTTGAAAGGGGAGCCTAAGGATTATCTTCTTCTAACGCTCATTACCATCTTAGAACCTGACTATGAATATCACCCAATGTAACTTCTGAATTCAGATTGAATTATTTTGATAATTATTTTGATCTTCAGGGCTTTTTTTTTTTTTGGATGTGATTTTTTTTTATTTGGTTGGTTTTAGTTTTATGGTTTTTGTAGGTTTTTTTGTTTTGTTTTTAAGACCAAATCAACATGGTGCCTATTCATGGAAAAAAATATATATTTCTGAAATTGATAAAAATAAACACAAATATGGCTGCTTGAAAATCATTTAACACATTATACCACTTAAAAATTAAAACTCAAGTAATTTGTTTTTCTGATAGCAAAAAATCATTGAATTGTCTGGGTTAGAACAGACCAGGATCGTGAAATATAAGCATCAACCTGACCTACCAAGTAATATCACTAGACCATGACCGTTAGTGCCACATCTATACTTCTCTTAAAAAATATGTGAAGATGGTTCCTTGCTTTACAAAATTTGATGAAAATGTTATTGAGTCCTGCTTTGCTATTTAAACATGTCAAAAAAGTTTTTACTCTTAAAATTCCAAATGCATATTGCTGAGTGTTCGAGATGTACTGCATATGGGTTCTTTGGAGAATAAAAGCTACACACCCTGAAGCTCATCTGTATTTTCTAAATAAAAATTAAAACCAAATATTTTGTATTTAATATAGGAGAGATAAAATAAAATGTATTATCTCTATCTGCACACCTTGCCTTTATTATTCTTCTGAAGTATGAAAATTGTAATTCAAAAAGGCAAAGTTATTTTTGATGCTTTGTAGAGATAACAGTTCCTTTTTGGTTAGTTATTTTTAAATGGAATGTAGTCATTGGAAGATAGCTTTATAAGCACAACCATTTTACTATTAACTGCATTGAAATATCTATGAAACTTAAAGAGACCCTAGAAAAGGGCATTTTTGTATAGATAAAGATAATGACCTTATATTTTGCATACTTTTTAAAGTGCTTCTTTTTTATTTTTAATAATTTATGTGCCTTTTCTGTTTTACTATAGGAATCTGATGGCCAAGGCTGTCCTTTCTGTCGCTGTGAAATCAAAGGAACTGAACCAATTATTGTGGATCCGTTTGATCCAAGAGATGAAAACTCCAGATGTTGCAGTATTATCGATAGCTTTAGTATGCCCATGTTGGACTTGGATGATGATGATGATAGGGAGGAGTCTTTGATGATGAACAGATTGGCTTCAGTCCGAAAGGTATAGTTTCAAATATTTTACAACAAATAAAGCTGTATATTTTTAAATAATGCTGCCTGTAACTAAACAATGAGAGGCTGCATTTCATGCTGAAGATTTCAGAAACTCACTGAAAATTTCTCAGGGTGAAAAAGCAAAATGCTTTGATATTGCAGCAAGAATACTAAAAGTGAATAGGAGAAAATTATATATATATATAGACTCTCGTGTGATGTGAATAGAGTTAACTTTGTTCATAATGGAGGAAGCAACAAATGTGTTAGAATTATACATGAGCTAATCCATTGACAATAAATATTATTGCTTTGTAAAGTTGACTTGGAGCCCAAATCATATTGCACACAAGTGCCTCTTTGTCACACTTCATGTAAGTTGTCTATAATTTTTTCTGTAATATAAAAGGAATTTTATTAGATAATTTTAGAGGGAAAAAGCTGAAATTATTCATAGTAGTATTGTGTTTCTGGATGTATTTGTTCTCAAAGTGCTCTGTGTTCATTTGTGGGATTTTTACATTGATTGCAGAAGATTTTATCACTAATAAGAGCTGTCATTAACAAAATTTTATATTGTTGGTTGTTTGCAGAGTTCCTCTTATATTTTAGCTTTGAATAATACTCTCATTGGCCATATAACACTGAATTTTACAGTGCATTTTCTATATTTTGCCTTTTACTAAGGTCATCTAAATTGAGTAGTTGACTTGAAATTAATTCTGTAACACCTTACTCTTCCATTTCCTTATGCTTGTATTTCTTATCAAAAATCTGAAAGCACCTGTCATTTAATAAGCATACTTCCGATAATCTTTCCTAACTTCTCAAGTCATATGAAACATTCTTGTGTATGTAATGCAACATAACCTACTCTCACGAACAGTTTATCCTTCCTGATGAGACTTAAGTTGCAGTCTGCACCCAGACCCTTGAGAGATAGTGTTATAAAAGTCTATCAATTCAAGGCTATCTCTTCTATGATAAAGCAAAAACACATTAAGGTTTTTTTTAAAAAAGAAGGAGCTGTGAGCTTGAATGTAAGAAGGCTTGTTTTCAATATCTCCTGTTTGAATGCTTAGATGCTTGCTGGTTTTATGTCATTAATTTCATTGTGCAATAAAAGAAACCTACTATTGATTCCTAAAGTTTTAGAAACAATATTTTTCACTCTTTTTTTAGCCAGTTTAAATCATTACTTGGAAACGCTGAAATACCATGTTACCATGTGATTTTCAGCTGCTGTTGCCTTTTAAAAACTGTTGCCAGTGGTTGTAGAGTTATGCTTTTAAGTAAATGACCGTATGTAGTGTATATTGTTATTTATGCACATTTTTTGGTTTATAATTCAGTCTTAAGCATTATTCATTTTTCTTGTTAAATAATACTTCTTCAGAGCGTAGTGGGAGAAACTGCAATATTTTGTAGGATTTTTACCCTCTTTGAATTTTTCTTTTGTTTCTTGTTTATACTGTTAACAAGAATTGGTCTGCTTATTGGCCTCATCAAGCAGCTTTTTTTTTTTTAATTTCAAAATTATCTTCAGATAATTCTTAATGAACCAAAGATAGAGTGGTGCCAAAACTTCTGCTAATTGTCTCATCACTGAGAAATTTCTAATGCTGTAGTAATCAGTGTCAGGAAAAAAAACTTAAATTCACAACTACTGGGGGAAAACTGATACCACTATTTCCCAGTAATAGATACATCTGATTAAATCATGCAACTGTGTTCCACACTGCAGTCCAGTTGCAAAAATAAGTCACAGCTGCCTGTCCCTTGGCAGCAGTTGTGCCAACTAGATGAAATCCAAGTCCTTAGAAAGGAGTCTGTGTTCTTTTCCTTAATTACATCTTTATTGCACAGGTCTGTGTTGCAGCAGAGCCCCTTTGTATGCTGAAGGTCTGTCTTCTGTCATGGCCAGTTCATTTGTATTAGTTTGTGTCTTAATTGCTTGTTTTTCCTTTTTCCCACTGTGCTGCTCTCATTGCTCCTTTATTTTTCACTAAATAGAAAATGCATGGAAATCTCCAATAGATAATGAGCAGAAAAAAATTCAAGTTTTCAGTCCATAGGGAATGTTTCAGGTTTTTTTTAAGAGGTTGGATTCTGTGTCAAAAATAGTACTTGTTAAGTACATCTGTTGATACCCTGACTTTGACAAGAAATGCAGCCATCTTGTTTGCAAAATCAAACAATTATGCAACTAGGCAGATTGGATATAAAAAGAAATGTACATTTTTTAAAAATGAGAATGTGAAGGAAATTTGACAGTGAGTACTGAAGAAAATGTTTGTTGCTGTGGGATCTTCTTCTGTTTGTAGATTTTAACAAAGAACATAGTTTTTAGTTTCTCCCAGCAAAGTACTCTCTCATACTTCAGCACCAAACAGTTAAATGGGTTAAGCTTCTTTATAGGTGGAGTAACTGTTAAGTTTTATTAGCAATTTTCTTTTTTCTTCACATGCCTCATAAGTTATTAGCCTGTTGGCCATCATTGGTTCCATTTTTAAGCTACCGTAAATGTAGAGACTTATCACACCATTTCCATTTATGTTTAATAATTGTATCTTTTTGGAGGTGTGAGACCTACTTATTTAGATCTATTTCAAACAATTTGAGAAATAAATTAATCTTCTGTCTGATGCTGAAGCCAAAGGATTTAATATATTATATTATATGGCTTTTGGCGTTTAGGAATGCTTGATGGAGATGTAACTGAACTTTGAAAACTAATGCTATTCAATGACACAGTGTTTATTAGGATATTTAACTGATGGATGCTTTCTATTAAGGCAAATGAACTGACATTTACTTTATAGTCAATTTATAATTCTGGTTGCTCAGGCATGCTTGCAAGATAAGTATTTAGCATAGTTATTCATCTAGTTCCCTTTTCATAGAGATGAGTGAGGGTAAGCAACTCACCTGTCTTTCATTATTTATCCTCATGGCCTTACAGTTGAGGTCAGGGACATTCACCAATTAAAGAAAAAAGTTAAAATTAAGTATTGAATTCAAGTCATTTAGTATATACATTCAGTGAAGAAGTAATAAGAAAAGAGAAGCTGGGAAGCTTCTGGCAGACATTGAGTGTGAATTTTCAATTGCTCAGTCTCTTGAATATGTAGTTGTGACACTGACCTTACACTTACAGACCAAATGGTAAGATAAAAAGTGTCACCAAAAGTCATTCTGGCAAGGGAATTGAAACTCAATCTTCTAGCTCTTCAACACCTTCTTGCTTGTCCCTCATTTTTTTTTCTTGCCTTGTTAACCAGTAATACAGTTGTGGCTTCTATTTCTGATGGAAGTCTGGTAGCAGATCCCAATTGTATAGAACATTACACTAAGATGTAAAACACAAAGTATTGAGTTAAGAGTTAAAATACTAGATCTTTTTGCCTAGATCTACTTTTGAATTTATGAAGTTTTCAGACTGTTTAATATAGTCAGATAACGTTGTTGACTTGACTTTATTGAAGAATTTATTAGTCCTAATCTCTGTTGTAGCCATAGGATGTACCGTGTTGATGTCAGAAATCTTATGAACGGAGGAGAAACTTTGATCAAAGAGATTTAGCAGATGCATTTGCATGAGCAATTTTATGTGCCTTATGTAAGAAGACAGTCTCTATAAACAAGTTGCATAGTGAGAATACTCAGTGCATGAGTGATCTGAGTCTGATGACTCCTGCGAATGTCTTGAAGCTACTTTAACTATTGCCAAAAATAACACAGAATGGCATGAACATCCAGATTTACTTAGTGTACACTGATACAATTACAGTAGGTTCACAGGTGTGCCTTGAACTGATTTATGCAATAAATTAAACTGTGTGTTTGAACTTGCCCAGTTAGTTGGAAAACTGCAAAAGTAGGTGGAACATAGACTGAGGAGTGAAATCTTTGATTCTGATTGTAGTATAGCATATTTTCTCATATTTAAATAATCAAAAATGATATTTTAAAAGAACATTCTTCAACTTCCACTGTGCCTATGAATTTGACAGGATGAGTAAAGGAAAAGAAATCATGGTTTGTCACTTGGGGACGATATTTATCAGCAAATTAATGAGGAAGGAAATAAATTCTTTGTTTACTGACTTGATGATTTTGCTTAGTAAGTTTTCAGAAGACACATATTCCATTTATTTTTTGTGGAGGTATGATATAACAATGGGTTGCTGTTAACAGACAGTACTGTGGGCATCCGGCTTTGAAAATTGCACATAGAGAATTATGAGATGGAATACTTATAAATGGAAAAGTTATCAAGAGTACCGGTACTACTGCAGGATAACTTTTTACATTTGTTGTTGTTTCTTTTATGATGGCAAGAATTGCTTGTTTAAACAAATTACTGGAATATATTGTCTTTTATTTTTATCACAAATTAATATGGTTTTGAGATGCATGGACTTTCAGACTTCTATCCAGTAATCAGGATCTCAGTACCTATACTATACATGAATTAAGAGTTGTGAGGTGTCCATTATGATAAATGACTATCAATAAATACCTGGCAAGTATGAAATCTTTTCTTAAGAAATGAAAGTAATTTACCTGATCATCAGGTAAATTCTAGTAATTTTTTTTTTCTGTCTTGAAGTGCAATGAGAGGCAGAATTCACCAGTGACTTCACCAGGATCTTCCCCTCTTGCACAAAGAAGAAAACCACTTCCAGATCCCCTGCAAATCCCACATCTTAGTCTTCCACCTGTACCTCCTCGTCTGGATCTTATTCAGAAGGGAGTAGCACGGTCTCCATGTGCCAGCCCAACTGGATCACCAAAGGTAACTCTTACTGATCCTGATTTCTTTGTACATGAAGATTCAGTAGATTTATTTGGATGTTTTCAGTGTGAGCTTGCTTGCTTGTTTTGTAATACTGACTATTAAGAAATTTTGTGTGTGTGTGTTCTCTTTTTCAGGAGTTTGTTCAAAAAGATTTTTAATTCCTTGTTGTTAGAAAAGTTGTCAGTTAGATCAACATTGATTAAGTCACTTAGAGATTCTTGTTTCCTTGTTTCTTTCAGTTGACTTTGGATATGCCTGTCTTGCATAATAAGTTACATAGTCAGATAATTACAGCTACATGCATTGGTCAAATGTGACCTGTTAATCTGATGGTTATATTATACTTAGTTATGCTCAGAATTTTAAAAACATCAATTTAACAACGCTGTTAACAGATCAATTCTGTAATAAACCCTGATTTGTGAAACCAAATAGAAGTGAAAATTTCCTGAAAGTAGATTTAAAGGCCATTATCTCATTAAAATTACATGTTGTTCTCTGGTTATTTGTGCTCATTTGCACAGTACTTTGACAAGAAAAATATGTGCAGATAGCCTGCTTTCAAAACTATAAGTGGCATATATTATGACTCAAGTTTCAGGGGAAATAATAATCGTAGAATCTTTTGAGTTGGAAGGGACCTTTAAAGTTCATCTAGTCCACTCCCCTGCAGTGATCAAGGATATCTACAGCTTGATCAGGTTGCTCTGAGTCCAGTCCAACTTTGAATGTCTCCAGGGATAGGGGCCTCCACCACCAATCTGGGCAAATTGTTCCAGTGCTTCACTACTATTTATTATAAAATACTTTTTCTTATATACAGTTTATATCTCCTCTGCTTTGCTTTGAAGCCATTTCCCCTTGTTCTATCACAACAGACCCTACTAAAAAGCCTGTCCCCTTCTCTCTTCTGTCCCCCCTTCAGATATTCAAAGGCCACTCTCAGGTCTCCCCAAAGCCTTCTCTTCTCCAGGCTGAACAACCCCAGCTCTCTTAGCCTGTCTTTGTGGGGGAGGTGTTCCATTCCTTCAGTTGCTTTTGTGGCCCTCTACTGGACATGCTCCAAATAGCTCCATGTCTCTGCTGTACTGAGGACTCCATATCTGGACACAGTATTCCACGTGAGGCCTAATCAGTGCAGAGCAGTGGGGCAGGATCACCCCTCTCGACCTGCTGGCCACGCAGATCTTTGGATACTTCGGATGCAGCCCAGGATATATTGCTTTCTGACTGCAAGGACACATGCTACTTTCTCATGTTTAGCTTGTCATCTAGCAGTCCTTTTTGGCTGGGCTGTGCTTCGTTCTTACATCCTCCAGCTTGTACTGATAATGGAGGTTGCCATGAGCCAGGTGCAAGACCTTGCATTTGTTGGATCTCCTGAGGTTCTCCTGGGCCCACTGTTCAAGCCTGTCTAGGTCTCTCTGGATGGAATGTTGTCCCTTGGGTGTGTTGACCACATCACATAGGTTGGTGTCATCTGCAAGCTTGTCATTAATCTTCATCTGTTCATTGAGCCATTGACCAACCACTCTTTGAATAACCACTCTCTGGGTATGGTCTTGCAAGAAGTTTCGTGTCCATTGAACAGAACACCCATTAAATCCATATCTTCTCAATTTGGAAAGAAGGATATCTAAAGTTAGTTAATTGTGTATTGACTGTGTTTTTTGAGACTAATGATGCTAAAGAGTTAAAGAATTTTCAAGTAAGTATAAAGCAAAACAGCTACGTTTGTTGCTCTCTATTATGAGCTGCTTATTTTGTTTTAATTGCTGTATATAGAGAGGAATTTCAATTCAAATTTTTATCTTAGTGAATTCAAATTCAAGTTTTAAATATGAATTGAAACTCGTGTGTTTATAGTAATCCAGTATGAAATACCTTTTTGGTATTCTTGGGTTTTTGCTTCAAGCTTGAACATCAACTTTTTAAAGTTCTGATGGTCTATAATTCAGATGGAAGAATAGAAGTTTGAATAGTTTCTTTATCAAACTTCTTTAATCACATTTTTATGTTATACAAGGGAAATTGTAGCACATAGGGAATATAAACTGAATGTTTGGCTAACTGAATGTTAGACTATTTGTACAAAATTCATAGCTTTAGAAAAAAAAAATGAAGGGAATCAGAAATATCACAAATATCACTTTACATCTTTCTCTTAAATTATTTTGAAAATGCTTCTGTTTTCCCATAATACTTTTCCATATGTACATAAAAGTATTTTGGGAGGTGCAAGGGAAACAAGATGGGAAACAACAAGCAATTGCAATTTCATGCTTAAAAGTAAAGACAGGTTGTTCTACCAAAACTACTATTGCAGTCAAAAGCTCTACCTTTTCTTCAGTGGGAAACAGCAACAACAAAAAAATTTGGACTCCTCCTTGCTGCTTGGTTGCTTGGTTTTCTTGCTGCCTTGACAGTGAGAATTAATCTTTTTCTTAACTAGCATCTTGATTAAATACTTCTTTATTTAATATAATAATAATGTATCCTATTTATATGAATTGACCTGCAGGTAGAATAATGTTTTTAGTTTTGTTGTTGTTGTTGTTTTTACATAAATAACATCTTGAAGAGTTGCACTAAAAAATATTGGTGGCCTAACCTATGAAGTGAGACCAAATACTTTTCTTCCTTTGAAACTTCTGTGGCCTCACTCTCTTGAACTGGTAATATTATGCAGACTTGCCAGAGTCAAGGAAAATCACACATTCAGTGAGAAGTTATCTTCCCTATGCTTATTACTGTAACTGCTTGTAGGAGAAAAATATTTTCTGATAACCTAAGAAGAGCTGGCTCAAGCATAATTTTGTATAATGTTTCTAATAGTTCTGTCCTACTGAGATTCTTTTGTTTTTTTTCAGGTTTATGCTTTTAGAAACTATACATACATTTAGAAAATCTACATACATTTTCTTTCTGAAAATTTGGTTTTCTTTTTTTTTTTTAGTATTTTGGCACATAATTTTGAAAAAAGTTTTGCCATTTGTGACACAGTTCAGTTCTGAAAAAGGAAATATGCTGGCAAAAGTTATTTGCAGACAATCTAATTGCAAACATAAATATATACTAAGAATGCCACCTGAAAAATTGAACCGTGATTCTAAAATATTAGACACTCTAACAATGGTTGTCATGTAAAGAATGGAGTCATACCTTCTTATATCAGCATAACCAAAACATTTATTTTCTCTTTATACTTGTGCCCTCATCAGTGCTTTTTTGTATTTATTCCGTGGCAGAAATATTTTGCTTTTGAATGTGTTTTTTTTTGTTTGTTTTTTATTTTTCCTGCATCCAGATGGTTTATTTTTCTTAACATTCCTCAGAATTCTTTTCAACAGCTAAATAAGTGATTCAAAGTAAGTATTATGGAAACTAGAAGAAAGGATTCTAGGGGGATATATTATCAGTTACATAAGTTTGCTGTAGCCAGTTCTCTCTCTTCTCCTGTTCTTTCTTGGTTCTTCACTTAACAGCAGAAATAAGGGTATAATTTCTGAAGAGGGACCATGTAGTCTGCAGAGTTGAAAGGGAAAACTAATTTATAACTTACTGGCAGGTTCTCTTCTGGTGCCTTGAAGATACTATGATAAGATAATATGGTAAGACCATATTTGATCATGAAAGAAGTGAAATAAACACATGTAACTTTTTTTCCTAACTTGGTTTTCTTTAGTCTTCTCCTTGTATGATGAGGAAACAAGACAAACCCTTGCCAGCACCACCGCCACCCTTGCGTGATCCTCCGCCACCCCCACCAGAACGACCTCCTCCAATTCCACCAGACAACAGGATAAGCAGACACTTGCATCATCCAGAAAGCGTGCCTTCCAGAGACCAGCCAATGCCCCTTGAAGGCTGGTGTCCCAGAGATGTGTTTGGGACAAGTCAGTTAGTAGGATCTCGAACGGGGAGTGACACTTCTCCCAAACCAGGACTGACTGCTGTTTCAAACATGAATGGAAGGCACAACCGCATAAGTTCTGAGCAAGGATTTATGAGAAAGCACAGACGTCACGAATTGCCTGTGGAAGGTGCCAAGGTATGAAATTAGGTGAATTTATTGAAGCCTTAATTTGATATCCTACTGCAGCATTGTTTTCCTTGGCTACAGAGCTGGTGTTTCTAAATCTTTCATGTTGGTTATTAATAATAAGCAGGCCATAAATAAATGGCTTGTTACATACTGCAGTTTCTAAAGCTACCATTCATGAGGGTCTAAGATAAAATTCAATTTTAATATGAAACATTCTAGAAACAGCTTGGAGAGAAAATTTTAGATTTGCTGTGTTCTTTCAGCAAATGATTTATACAGTTGGTGCGTAACAGAAGTTAGTTATGCAGCATCTCAGGTCAACTTTGAAAATGCCTAAATTATTTCTGTGTTTGATTATGGGTGCTGTAGTTACCTCTGTGGATGGTGAAGTGAAAACATGGTGACCTCTTAAATCTATAAAGTATGTAATATGCATATATGGTATTTACAAGTATACTTAAGTTGTTAGATATATTGTGTACATTAACAAAAGCTAAATATTCTAATGATCAGGTGGTCTTAGTTATCTGTAAAATGTTATTTTCAAAGGAACATTAAATTAGTGATGATCTTCAGAATAATTTAATGGAAAAGATTTAACCTACCTTGACCATAAGAAAGGAGAAACAAGTGCATCAAAAGCCAAGCTAAAGATACAACATACTATTCTACATTTACTACTGACTGTATGGTCAGTAGCCTTGAAAATGTACAATGACACAGCTTTAGTTGCATTGTTTGATTTGATATTATCATCAGTACTTTAAACTTCATTCATGATAATGGCAAATACCTTTTTCTTTTTCAGTTGTTTACAGTAATGCAAATATCTTTAGCTGGATTTGTCTTCCTTTGGATTTAAGTCACAGCTCCAGTTGCTGGAGTTGTATGTTGTAATTTCTCCATAGCGTTTTTGATTTTTTCTTGGACAAAAGTCCAATGGAGTGTCCAATAATTCATTTTGAGCTATGAGGGTGTTTGGAATTGTCACTTGCAATCTTTCCACTGATTGTACAGCTTGATTTGGCTGGGAGGCATCTACTTGTCACCTAAGAAGTATGATTGCCTGTCCTTGGCTGCACTGAATAATATGTCTAGAACTATGGTGTTTTTTCTATTAAAAAAAAAAAAAGAGGATGGTTTCCATTTGTTAATTGAAGATATCTGAGAGATTAGAGAGTGAAGCAGTAGTCCTAGTATTAGTCAGCTTCAAATAACTTGCAAGACTGTGTACTCGGAGAGGCCTGGGTTTGAAAAGAGAGCAAGTGGTGGTGGCCTAGGAAAAAAAACCATATTTCTGTTCTAATTGCTGCTTTATCAAAGCAGCTCAGTATTTGATTATAGAGTGGATTATTAATTCAGTGTTGCTGCTCTTTTTTTGGTTGAAAACTATATAGCTTGTGCTTGTGATTCAGTACAAAAGTTAGAAATCATCACTTTTTTTTCCTTTTCCCAAGATCACAATATTTCTCTATCAAATGGATATCATGATAATTTTGGAAGTATGATTTTTAAAATTCAGTTATTATTGGTAAAAAGCATTTATTTATGTGATGAAAAGTGCTTAAGAAGCTTATGGTATTATATGTAGTAAGAATGTTCTTTCATCAGAACTGTGGTAAAGACCAAAATTTTACTAAGAACTAGACTGTAGTTTTAAATATTATAGATTTTCATCTGCTTTTAAACTACACTGGGTTTATATCTTCAATAGTACATTCAAATAGCCATTTAATATTCCAGTTGTGGTTAGGCACAGTATTGAGGCAGATGGAATGAATACTTCTCAAATCAGAATAACTACACGGTGTGGAAGAGCAATTGTAATCTAGTGGAGTTATACAGGTTTTTCTTTAACCAAATGTTGTTTGAAGTGTCATGTTCAGTTAATAGGTCTAAGCCACTTGGTTAAATGGAGTAACTGACAACTCTGAATTACCATTTGAGGATGTATGAACATTCTCAAGGGTAACAATTCATGAATTTTCAACCCTGATTCATTTGTCAATCATAATACAATCTTTTTGCTCCTGGTTAAGGCTAAGAATTCAGAAGACAATTTTACATTCTGCCAGGTATAGCACCACAGAGGTTTAAAAAATGGTGTTTAACATGCTGTCCCTGTTGTTTTTCATCTGTACTCCATCTCTGTTGCTTTCATCAATTTGCAATCTTGAAATCCTAATTTTCCCCAAGTGGTTCAGCTGTAACTGAGTGATCCATCTAGTAACTGTGACATAGAACTTCCTCTTTTGGTAAAATTTAAAGCTAGTGTGTTCTACAGCTCCCAGATGGGGTGAGCTGAAATTGATATGAACATAATCGCTTGAGTATAGGTCTGTCGCATGAGCTCCTAGGAAAGTTTTAATGTGTAGCCCTCTCAAAGTCTGTTTTGTAATATCTGGTTGAGGATCATCTGTGGTGATAAATGGGAGGAGAGACTTATTGTAACTTATGTGTGATTTTTTAGGTATTTTCAAATGGTCATTTGATAAATGAAGAATACGATGTCCCACCACGGCTTTCACCTCCTCTTCCAGCTGCTTCCACCATCCCTGGTATAAAGTAAGTTAACTTTAACTGTAAAGGAAATTGTTTAATTAATGTCAGATAATAGCACTGATTCTGTGGTGCTAAACGGAAAATGAAAAAAGAAAAAAATAACTAATATCTATTGGTGATGTTTTCCATGATGCTTTAATGTGTTTTTACGAAGGAAATATAAATTTTTTTATTAAGTAAAAACAATTGTCATGTTAATTGGACATACTACATTTCATAGCAAAAGAATGCATTGTGGCAAGATCTTGCTCATAGGTATTTGGCAGTGGGAAGCAGAACCTATCCATTCCATTTTGGTTCTACTACTACTAAAAAAGTATGATCAAAGCTATCTATTGCAAGAAATGAGAGGTTCTAGGGACAATGCTAAGCGTAAAGAGCGTGATTTGTGTGTGTGTGCACGTGCACTCTGTGTCTAATCCAGGCATGTTTACTGGACTTTCTACACAGAGAGCTTTTTGTCATGCCAGTATCAGTAGTTGCAAACTACTCTGTGTTCCAATAATATTGCGGTTTAAAAGATGTTGCTGTACAATCAGTTGTGTGTAGTTGGTCCTCTGTTCAGATTAATCTCCTCGGACTGACTGCATCTTCCATGATACACAGAGCTCCTGGGTTGTTCCATAACCTATCAGTCAGAAAGTGAAAGAATTGACTGTGTTGGACAAACTACATACTTTACTATTTCAAAGCAAATTACTGGATTCTAAAAAAGGAAAGATTTTTATTTTTTATGGTGTTGAAATAAAAAATAAATAAATTTTAAAAACATTGTTACATGAAAATCTCATTTTTGCAGGTTTTTTTAGAAATATATCCTAGAATCAAAGTACAGCATTATGCAGTATTCACTGGAAATGCTTCAGTATGTTTTCACAAAGTATTTTTCCTCCTATTAAATTGACTGCATTAAGCCTTCATAAAAATGTTCAACTATATTTGGTTCAAAATACTCATATTTTCCCAAACTGCCCTACTGCAGTCAGTCTAGTGCAAGCTTCTCATTTTTCCCTCCTCTCTGATCTCTGCATAGTTTTGGTTTGAGAGCTATTTGTTTTATACAGCTCTAAGGCATTTTTTTCCTTGTTATTTTCATAAGTCTGTAGCTTCTAAGGTTTAACTGGAAGATACATAGACCAGGTATGAAATGCCTTAGTCTAAATAACAATGAGGCAAAATTATGTTTATTTGGAGTTTCACAGTTCCAGAATTCTGACGTCCTTGCTTGACTTATTTGATAATTTTTTACTGAATACGCCATAGCAAATATTAACTTTTTTTTAACTGAATTGCATAGTTTAATGTCAGTATTGTTTTTTTTTTGTTGTTGTTGTTGTTGTTTTTTAATGGAAACAGGGCTAATTTATTTTCATTTTGTTGGATTTATTATTATCCACACATTAGTCATGGAATGTTGGACTCACATTAACTAAGCATCTACTTTTTATTTTCCACTCAGCTGCAATCCCTGTTTGTGAAAGCAGTTATTCTTTTATTGGACTGATGTAATTATATCAGATTATTTTTAGCAATTTTGATCAAATTGCTATTTTCTTCTCAACAAATAAAACTTTTAGGTTAAAAAGATAAAACAGTTCTTCCACCAAACTTATAAATTTTCAAGGTAAAAAGTGTTTGTTTTTATTCCTATGAGTAGGTCCCATTTTGCTATAATAGTTCAGATTGGTCTCAAAAGTGCTATATATTATAGTATTATTTACTCTTTTTTTTGAGTGTGTATGAAACATTCAATTCCAAGTACCTTTTATATTCCATATATATGTTAGGAAGAAGTAGTTGCCTTGAGGTGGTTGAGGAAAAGTACACAGAAATGTATTTCTCCTCCTGTTATCCCTTTTATCCTTGCTAGCTGACTTTGAATGTGAAGTCGTGATTCCATTAAAGGAAAATGGAAAGGCTTGGAAATCGTGGCTTCCTTGAAATCAGTCTTTGCTGTGGTGCTTTTAGAAGTAGCGCTGCTGATACAAGGGCTTCTAGATACCTGAGAAAGCATGGTATGCAGGACTTAGCTTGGCAAGCTTGACAGATCAGTGAGTTTGGATGTAACAGCTACTCTCAGATAATTCTAGCATGCACTCTTACCCTGTGATAAATAGAAAATTGTATACTTCGCTATGAGCAAGGGCAAACTTTTATATATGCTTAGGTTTAAGGGTAAATATGCACTCAAAGGTAGTTTTTTAGAAGCATCTGATAAACATAGACTTAATCATGTGATCTGTGTAATTTAGCATCTATTTTGTTGAAACAGCGATAGCTTAGTAACTTGCTTTTGAGCTCACTATCAACTACTTATTTGCATAAGGTTTGTACAAGAGCTGATATTAAGAAACTGATGTCTGTACGGTATGTGTTATGGGTCAGCAGTTCAAATAGCCTTAGTCATGTCCCATGAATTAGAACAGTCTACAGCAATTGGAATATCTTAGTGGTATGCTCGGAGAGTGTCTTAGATTTATGTTTAATCTGAAAGATATTGAAGTTGTGCATTCTTCAGTGCAAATTGAAGTGTGGTAAGTGGAGAGATTAAAGACATTCAATCAAAAGTACAGTCCTGATTGGAGTAAAATACAAGTTTATTGTATCTAAGCTCTGTGAATCAACTTACCAGCAAATGACGGAAGGAGAATTTTTCCCTGAAGTACCTTTAAAAAAGTGTGTTGTTTGTTTCTCTGAAGCTCTGCTACTTTACAGCTGAGCTGGACTTAAAGTGACTTGATAAAAACAACAACTTTGTCTTCTGTGCTTTACTTTGGCCCTTGGTGTTCAATATAATAAGAGAGTTTGGCATCTGGGTGACTGTCCAACAAATCAGAAAAGACAAAGTCACTGCTTATCAGAATGCAATTCTGAATTTCAATTTTAAAGAATTTTAAGGAGGAGGGAAAAAAAACTAGGGAATATTACAATACGTTGTGCTGGTCAGTTTTGTATTCCTCTGTACATAAGCCTTCTAAAGACATAAAAGTAACTACCTTTTGAAAAGTGTAATTTTAGAAAACTTCACTAGTTTGATAAACAAATGCTTGAGTATTTCAATCTTAGATTATACTGACATATTCATCTGTTTAGTCACAGATGAATACTTGTCTGTTACCTTACTAATTTATGTAGAAGGGTAAAGTTAATATCATAGTAGAACAATAAATATTTAATGAAACAATTAGATCATGAAGAAATTTAAGTAATCTAGGAGAAAAGCAGATATACTTCTAAAAGAACAATGCAAAAGAGATTTGGAATCAGCTATTACAAATAGATTTCAAATTAGAAGAGCAATGTGATTTATTCAGAACTATGAATTGTGAAAAGTTAATAAAATGTATGAGACCGTTTTAGGAATCTAAAGAAGAAAATATTAGTTATATGTTAGTAGCTTTAAATTGCATTACAAATCAAAGGACCTTTTAGACATTAATCACATAATATATAGCCCAGCAAATATTTTCCTAACTTTAAGGACAGTGTGAAAGAGACTTTATTAGCATGAAGAGTTTGTCTAAGGCTACACTGTACTTGGAAACAGGAGAACATAGAACCTAAATCTTTAAAAATTCCAAACCTGTGAAGGTTTCTCTGCAGTGCAGTATTGTTGGAAATTGATTTTAGCATAAACATACTGATATTTGTGGAATGAAGTTATAGGTTTGTTATAACATAAATTAGGTTCTTGTATCTACTAAATATGTAAGACAGGAGTAGGGGTTTTCTGAATTAGGTAAGGAAGGGAAAAGTTTATTTTCTGTACTCCTTGAATATTCTAAATTTTACTTATTTTTTAAACTGTCAGTAAATGAGTCTCCAAGCTTTCCTGTGTAAGAACTGTTTCTGTCAGGAAGCTGATAAGGCTAGCTATTACAGTGCTGTACTTCAGGTGATGGTCAGGCTCTCAGTTTTTACCCCATAGATTTACTTAAAAAAAAAAAAAAAGAAAGAAAGAAAAGAAAAGAAAAGAAAAAAGAAAAACCCTAAGTCTATCTAATTAAATAACTAATCAACAACCTAAATCTTTCCTATCACCAATTTCAAATACTGCTTTCAGAGAGGATTTTTTTTTGTCTGTTTGTTTCCTATTTGTAGCCTTTGAAATGGGCTTCAAACACCACCACCATGCTGGCTTCTGTATTGTTTGATGTTGGACATTTCTAGTATACATACCAACATTGACATCAGTTCAATTTGTGATTATTTTTAAAATGTACCAGCGTATATGTTTTATATAATGTCTTCAGAACATTCTGGATTGCCAAGTAGGAATGGTTGCACATCCACAGAAGTGAGGGAAGTTATTCTTAGTGAGCCTTACAACTGTCTGAGCACAATACAAACCTCTCATTGTCCTGTTAGGTTTTACTTGCTTTAAATGACCACACAGCAGTGACATAAACTTGTTGCCTGTTCAACTTGGAGATCAAAGATGGAAAAAGCATTTCACCTTGCACTGCTGTATTTACAGAAGACCTTTTACTCCCTCTACAGAAGGTGTTTGAATACTGCAATGCGTAGTTTGCAGTTCAGTTTCATGAATCTTCTTTCACCTTGTGTTTAGCTGGATCGCTTTTGCAAAAAAACTTGAGTTCCCATCTTCCATGAGTTTGTTGGTGAAGTCACAGGTGTATTACCGATTGAAGAAAGCAGTGTCTGAGAGGCTAGGAGTAGCTAGGGAGCTCTAGACTATGAATATATTAAAACAAAAGCAACACATCTGCCTCCTACTTTCTCTCTTCTTATTTTTTCTCCCTTGTTTGTTTATTTAGTGACTGATTGGTACTCATAGCCACTTATTCACTTTTGTTCAGAGTACTCGGATGTTCTGAAGTCATTTAACATCATCTAAAATAAATTGTGAAAGGCATAAGATTTTCCTGTGTGAAGAAGAGTATTGCATGTGTCAGATGCTGCTTGTGTTGGAAAAAAATGAGGAGATGAGCCTGACTTGTCACTTCAGTTCTTGCTTTTATGATAAAATTAAACTAATTAGACCATCAGATAAGAAATTATGTCCACTCCTGTCTCATTTTTTTCCTATGGTACTTAAAAACTTCCCTAAATGATATATTAAGTAGATGTGTCTTGTAATGTGGCTCAGGGGCCACAAATCAAAATGGCCAAGACCACATTCCATATCTTTTTTTGAAGTCCTCCAGCTATTGATTCTTTTTTTTTTTGTATGGTAAAGAATGAAGGTACTCGTTATTATGTAATTTAATATGCAGATGACTTTTGAAGGTATGCACTTAGTGTTCAGCTAGTTTAAGAATTGAGTGTCTGCTTATGGTTTTTATGTATGATTAAACAGAAGTTAAATTAAGCCCTTAATGTAAGCTTGTGTGTTTTAAATGGTTTGTGAGTTTCTTATTGATTTTAATGTATCAGTATAATCACTATAAGCAGAGGGGCTATATATGTAGAAGATGATATTGATTGCTACTTAGGCTAGTGGGTTTTTTTATGTCTAATGAAGACAAAGGTATGTTGAGCTTGTTAATATATAGCAAAATCTCTTCCCCTAGATGGTGCTCACTAAATGAATATTTTGCCTATTGTTATGTTTATAACACAAAACCAGCTAGAAGGCTTTAGCTTAAGCTGTAAAATAAAACTAATATCCAGCAGTATTCTCCAGATGGAACTTTCTTTTTCTTTTTTTTTTTTTTGTACCTGTAAATAGAGATTGTAAACCTACTTGGGAGTTCAGTAATGTAATGGATGGAACAAGATGGAAATCGCGAATGTCCACTGCCTTACTGAGCCCTGCTAAATACTATTTGCCCTGAATTAACTTCTGTTTAGTTCTTTTGATAACTACAAACAGCTTAAGCCTTCTAAGCACATATTTAGTACTACTTCTTTGGAATTCTCTGTTGTGTTATGCTTGCTTAAAGTACCTGTTTAACTCTTAAAAGGTCCACTAACATGTTTCTCTAAGTATTCTCATTGACAGAAAAGGCAGTAACTTTTAAGTTTGTTTGACATGGTATTTTTTTTAACCTTATGTGTAGCTGGCACACATTAAGGATGTTTATGCTGAAGAAGTGTATCTTCTACATTGTACTAAGGATTATTATCTAACAGTTAAAGCAGAACTGATCTTTTTTCTCATCCCCATAGGTGCCCTGTTTCCTCAGCAAATTCTTTGTCTGATAAATCAAGGGATCATACAGATGATGATGATGAATACAAAGTTCCTTCTTCACATTCTATAATACTGAGCTCTCAACCACCTCATTGTCATAATATAAAACCTGTTGCTCGGTAAGGTCATTTAGCAATCTTGAAAGCAACTTATTCACTAAAGTCTGTTTTTCTCCAGAATTTAATTGTATTAAACATTTACAGTGATGGTTGCAAGATATCTAAAATGTTTCATCTTTTCAAGCTTGTGTTATTTATGCTTCTGTTTCACTTAACCACCACAATCATATACCTGTGAAGTTCACTGTATTGTGTCTCTGTGATATGATATTGCTTTCAAATACCACTTCTCAAGAAGATAACTTTTTTGTTACTCGCATGGAATAAGGCTCTTTTGCTTTAAACATATTCTCTAAAGTATTCTCTCCAAACTCTCACACTTATTAATTATTAATAGATTATAGCAGGGAGATTTTGAGCCAAAGAACATGACATCTGAAGGCTATGTCATTCGTGGTGAACTTCTTGATCTTTCAATCATAAAGAAAATCTAAATGTCTGGAATGAAGAGAATAAGTCTTGGGAGAAAAAAGGGCCAATTCCTTACTCATCCTGTAGGTCAAAAGATTGATACTGAAACCAATTATTGATCTACAAAGGCCAGGCTTTTTTCTGTTAAAGAATGTGGTGACATATTGCCTTTTTTCTCTCTCTGTCATAATACAATGTCAAGAACCCACTATCAATAAAGTTCAATACATCTCTCATTACAAAATAAGCCACTTATGATTTTTTTAGACCTTTTCAATTGGACATGTATAACATGAATAAAAGATCACTCCTTGCATGCAAGTTAAAAACTGTGAGAAACAGAATTGTTGAAGTGATGATATAACCTTCATTGCATGGATGTGAATGTTACACAGTTGTCTTAGCTTTATGATCTTGAGTGCTTCAATGCCCTAGCAGACAATCTTGATTATAGTTGACTCCATATGCTTAAGAACTGGGGGAAAGAAAAAAAAAAATCCTTTACATCTGCACTTTTTAAAAATCTCATAGGATGTATAACTTAAAACTTAACTCTTAAGTATTACTCAACAAAAGCATTAATGATTTTTTTCCTACTTGTCATAAATGGTTTAGCACCTTTCAGAGTTACTTTTTTATAGTCTTTTTCCTAAGCATTGCATCCTCAGCTCTTGGATAATGCTTAGACATTTCAGTAAACAGAAGAGTCCACAGAATTTATTTTAGATTTTTTGAAATTTACAAATAATTCTTCCATTTAATTTTAAATGGCAAATTATTCTAAATTCTAAATAATTCTAAAATTATATCACTTCTGTGATTTCTTGTTATTTTGCTACTAAATCTGTCAATTCTAAAAATTGTACAAGGTCAATAAAAAGAGAGGACTCACAGTCGTCTTTTCTGGCAGGTCAGTTAACTGGTCTGGTTTGTTACAGCTGATCTCCTCCTGCATACACATGTGCAAGTTCAGCAATAAAAAATGGAAAGAAAGAATTTCAGCATTAGGGTAACTAGACTAGTATTAGAAAAGTGATATATTAGTCACTCACTCTTTGATCACTGTCTTTTCCTAATAATATTTTTTCTGAAAAGAAAAAAAAAAAAACAGAAGGCTGGTTTGTTAGTACTAATATGCTGCTATTCTCTCAGTGCTGTCTAATGTCAGTGTAAACAGATATTTCAGGATGATTTGCAAACTGATTTCTTTAATGGACTCTTCATGAAAACTTTTTAAGTGGTGCCATGTTAGGTTATCTTACCTACCTATGTTGATTAATTTACTGAAAACACAGAATATATTTAACCTGAAGTAGAAAAGATTCTTAATTATTTAGTATCTATGCTGATGAGTCAAAGTAAGTGTTGCTTGCACTGCATTTGAGAGGTTGAACCAATCTAATTTTTGAGAGAAGCAACACTTCCTCTACCACTTCCCTGGGGAAATTAATTCATAACAGAATGCTTCTTACCGTTAGTTTTGTCTTTTTTTTTGTTTTTTTGATTGCTTTTTTTTTAAGTCTTGTAATTATTCTTACATTTATTTCATTACTCCTAGTTATAACTCTTGGGATGACAAACACAATTTCACTTCTGTTTTCCTATTTATGTGTTTTAAATGATTATACACCTTTATTCATTCTTATGTTCTGTATGGCTGAAAGAGATAGTTTTACCAATTTTGACAATACTGGAAAAAAAACAAGATGTGAAATTCTAACTTTATATAGCTCTAGCAGATTTGTCAACTTTTGAAAATAATGGCACGTAGTGTGTAGTTGTGATTTTTAATTTTTAAAATGGAACTGTTTAGCATGGTGGTCTTTTTCTAGGGAAACTTTGAGATTCTTTCTGAGTATGTAGGATCTGCAGCTCCAATGACAGGAGTCGTTTTCCAATTCTTTAACATTTATTATTAATTTTATTTAAACAACATTTAATTTTATGAAAAGACTTTTTTTTGCATGTTATTTCCCCACAGTCTTCGAGCAGTTGCAGAAAAGAAATCTGCAATAGATTTTTTTTTCTGTTAAGATTATAGATTACTTTGTACTTTGCTTCATTAAGTCTAAGTGAATTTTCATATTTAACTTGATACTGTTATTTAATTTTGAAAGACTGATACATTTACATTTTTTTAAAAAAGGAAAATTCTAGTACGAGTTGTCAGTGAGACTCCATTTTTCTATACAGAACTAGATGTCTGCAGAACTGCTTTGACTTGTTTGTTTTTTTCATAGTTGGCTAAGATTTTACTTGAAATTGTCAGTGATGTTTATGGTTTTCTGCTTGTTTGTTTTTCTTTTATTGTTTTATTGTATTTGTTTGTTTGTTTTTAAATTATTTCCTATGTAGATAGTTACCTTTTGCCCTCTTAGTATTTTATCTAGTAGAAGTTTAACGGTTGGAAAGGGGAAAACAGCATTGAGTGTATGCATTAAATGTGTAAATAAACCACTGGTCTGACTTCAGAATTGAGGACTGCATTTAACATTAGTGATTCTATGATATGATTTTTTCCTCTACCTTGAGTAAGTTACTTAAACTAATGTCAGAATACCACCAAGAAAGCAGTATAATTCTTCAAAGAAGTTTTAATGAGAACTATCCATTACCTAAACTCAGTGTAAAAACTATAAAGTTTAGAATTGATGCAGTTTATCGTTTTTCATTTGTTTCTGTGTAATGGACTGCTGTCTTAAGCACTTTGTAATTCTGGGAACTAATGCTTGGTTAACTGGTTGATTACTTCCTTGTTAATGTCTGTCTTCAGGGTTTGTGAGAATGGTCAATGTGTTGGAGTAACAAATGGAACACACAGTGCTACTTCGGATGTGAAGAAATCAAAACATCCAGAGTTAGGTATGTTTTAATTTTTCACCTTTTTGCAAGAAAACTTACTCTGTGCTTTTCCAGGGGTACAACAAGAAAACATTCACTTCTTGTAATTGTGTCATTCAGGAGATGTCTATGATGCACCTACTGTTCCGGTACCTTTGCCACCTGCACGGCCTCCTACCAGAGACAACCCAAAACACAGCTCTTTGCTCAACAGGACTCCCTCCGATTATGATCTTCTGGTGCCCCCTTTAGGTTGCAGACTTTTTGCTGATTACATTTAATGGTTTATATAGCTTAGATTAACCAAATGCCATGTTTACCTGAAAATCAACAATTGTTGAGTATGTTAAGAGTACCAAACAAACTGTAGGCTAAAAATTACAACTGTACATCAGTGCTTGCCAATGTGGCATCTGCCTGTAAGCCCTCGTGCAAGACAGGTGAATAGATAAACGAAGTCTGGATTCAAGCTACGAAGAAAAACAAAACTGTTTTGTATAAAATAGAATGAAAACTAATGGATTATTGCAATTTAAAGGCTTCTGATTGTAGCTTAAATAATTACATTTCTTTTATCATATAACAAAGATGAATGGCAAAGTGATGGTATTTAAGTCAAAGAAAACTGGGTTACATTAATAAGTTTTTGTATTGCTTTTCCAATGTCAAAGGACAGTTCAAAACTCACTGCTGCCTACTGTCACAAAAAGCTCTATTTCCCAGTCCAGACTTAGTCTTGTGCCAATGACCTAAACATTTTGAGATCCATAATATTAAAGAGGCCACTCTGCCTACATACTGGGGCTGAGCTTGACATCACATCCACCTTCATCAACAAACTCAATTCATTCATTGTTAGACTATACTGTATGTGTCATCATCCAATTTTCTGGTCCATGAAACCTCTTGAACACTGCTTGGTAACTCTGGTCCTATCTGCACTACCTTTATGTAAGGGGAGAGTTATTTTGCCAAGTATACTAAATTACTTTGTATCTTAGGTCAGAGCTTTAGTACAGAAGATAAAGACAACATATGGTATGAATGTAGGAGATTGGATGTAGTCAGCACTGATATCGGAATATAAATATATTTTCTTAGCCACTGAAGCATTACTGTTATTCTACACTGATAATAAATGAGACTTTCATTACAATACAGTCTTTGTAGTTGAGCCATTTAAAAGACATTCCTCCCCCTCTCCATCCCAGAAAAGAAACTGAGCAGCGAATGGTCATTCAGAGCATGTTTTCGAAGAGGACTGTGCATAGTAAGAGTCAGGCTAACAATTTCATTAATGCAGTCACTGAACTGCTAGACAAACCCCAGGAGCAAGGGCCATGACAGCCAGAGAAAAATCAATTTTAAACCATTCTATGATACTTTATGAAGTTTTATTCATCTAATAAGTCTTTCCTAAATGCAGGTGAGGATGCGTTTGATAGCTCACCTCCTTCACTACCACCACCACCACCACCTGCTAGGCACAGCATCACTGAGCACACGAAACCGTCTGGCTCAGGAAGTCGACCTCCCTCAGGACATGAACTGTTCCCTCATCCTGGTAGGAATATAAAAAAGAGTATATATTTTATTTCATTTATTCCAAAAGTGAAACTACTATGCAGTAAAGTTCTCATTAGTCTTCAGAAGTCTGTTTTGTTTTCAACTCTATACAGAATATGTAAGAAATAGCTTTCCTTTGTTTTTTTTAACTGTTTTTGAATGGTGGAGTTGAAAAAACACAGGATAAGACAAGTCAACATTTCATTATAATAACGTAATAAGATAAAATCAGTATTTTTGTACAAGGAAAGACATTTTGTTAAATTGTACTTTTCTCATAAGAAGTGCTACTTCCAAAGTACCAAGTTTTCTGTTGTGATAATTCGTATATGGTTATTTTTTTTCCAAGTTGCTAAATGGGGAAAAACTAGAAGACATGAGAAAATAATGCTGTTTTACCAGAAGTGTTGCTGTAAAATTTTGCAGCAAAACACAGCTGCAGGGCCCTGTGGTTTCATAATTTTTTATAAGTAGTTGAATTTTCACCTACCTTTTTCCACAAATCGCTATCACATTTTTAGTCCAGTATTTTGATTATAAAAATCATGAAAGTTGCATTTAAAATTCATAACTATGCGTTGATAATGTTTTCATTGTGTCTATGTATATGTATGTATATATTTTTTGCCGTCAGTTGAGATCTGAGCACTGAGTAATTCACCAAAACTGTATATGTTTAATAATGTGGAACTCAGCTTCTGCATGCATCCAGATAAAAAGATTAAGCACACTGCAGGATGTAAAGGTCGATCACAAATATAGAGCCAGGAACTGAATTACCTTCAATGCTTCAAAATAAAAATAATGTAATCTTTAGCACTTCAGTCTGAATGAGAGCTTCAATTGTGTAATCTGAGGAAGAAATACACTCCGCAACATTCAGTTTTAATATGAATGCTGAGGAGAAAAAGAAAGTTCTCCCTCACTCCCAGTTGCATACAAGCTCTGTTGATCTGTCTGCAGTTCCCAGATATGTGCAGGATTTTTAAATACTATTTCCTAATAATCAGAAGTATCACTGGTAGTGTTAAAAAAAAAAATAATAATCTTCTAATTAAAAATCTGGAGAATGTAATTATGGCCATTCATTCTTCATATTTACATAGCAAATACAATCTTATAACAGCACTTCTCACGAGTGTTGTAAGTATGCATGTCTACTTGAGCATACATGCATTTGTGAATTGGTCTTTTTAATTCTTTTTTATTCTTATGGTATTTCTAAAGACTTGCTGACATATTTCATGCTTTGTGTTGTGCCAAATAAACTACTGAAAATGATTTGATGCATTTTTGAAGATTGATTTCCATACAAGTCTTCAGAGTGATATCTTGGCTGTTTTTCTGAGCCTGTGAGATTAAAATAATAATCTCACCATCAACAATAGCAAAAAAATTGCATACATTTTGAGTGAAGAACAGAATCTAGGTTCAGGATGATGGTAAAAGCTTGTTCAGCAGCCTTCGCAGTATTTTAAAAAAATGAGGATTTTAAAGGGGGGCATAGTATGCCAGGCCTCTACCTTTCTCTGATTTTTTTTAAGTTCTGTTCCTCTAATCAGGAGACAGAACTCCTTACAGCTTTTAGCAGTCACTGTAATGTTTACCCAGTAACTGGGACTGTGCAAGTAATAAATCTGGCCTGCAATATTGGTGGACTGCTAAGCATTGAAGTGTTAACTGAGCTCTAACCAAACAAGCTAGCAGGGATACCTCTAATTTTGCAGTTTTGCGTCTTGCAACTTCTATATTTTACTAGCCACAGCCTTCTGAGCGTCAGGACTGAGTAATTGGAGGGTGAATCATGATATAGTGCAAGGTAGACCATTTTTTCTATTGTTGTTCTCCTCAAGACACAGGTATGTGTCTTCTATGCAAGCATTTAATTTGGGTGCAGATACTTTGTGGAATACCTCTGTTCACATTGTTTTGTTTTTTTTTTTTCTTCTTTAAAAAGAGATTCTTTTAAGACTAGGTTCTGTGTATTAGCCCTTCTTCTTCACCAAATAATAGTTCTAATTATTCTAAGACACTTTATTGCTTTATTATTACAGATCCTCATTTTGATCCAATAACTGGTCATGTTCCCTTGCCGCCTGTTCGTAGAGTAACTGGAGAGAATGTCAAAACAAATAGGAATTCACAAGACTATGATCAGCTTCCTCCCTCTTCAGGTAAGGTAGAAAGTTACAGCCTCATGAACAGATAACTTTAAACCATAACATCAAATAAGACAATTGGTAGCAGAAATATTGCTTTATAAAAGCATAAAATCATCAACAGGTCATAGAGATTAAAGTTCTGCAGTATATAGGTAAAAATGGCTACCTGTTTCTTTGACGTTATGCAGATATTATGGCACCAGTTTGTGCCAAGCAGAACACTGATATGGTTTCTGCTGTTCCTTATTTTTTGAGAAAACCAAGGACTTTTCTTTTGTCTTTGAGTACATAGGAGATCAGATTCAGGGACCATAAGCCTCTTCCAGCTTTGTTTCATTGCTTCTTCAAAACAAGTAATTTCACTTTCTGCAGTATTACTAATTTCTGGTCTTTTCTGCTAGTGTGCCTGTGTGAGGTTCTAAGAAAATTTTAAAATACCTTTTATTGAATCTTCAAGAACCAAAACCAATTCAAATTCAATCTTGCTGCAAAATAGATACGGTGGAGTCAATTCCTCTGCTATTAATATTGCACTTAATTTTTTCAGAGTATATGGATACTACATAAATAAAATATATATTTCAATTAATTTAAATATATTAAAATAGCAAAGTATTGCTTGTATTCCAAAGTACTTTCACCAATTTTTAGACAAATTTTATTTTCTTTAGCTGTGTGTATGGAGAAGGGGGAGGATTGTCCTACCTGCATCATTTTGTAGTGTGAAGAGGTACCACAAATGAAAAAAAGAAGTGATTATCTGAACCATTAAACACTATTAGTTCTCCAGATAGAGTGAATTGTATGTTGAAACTATTTTCTAATGCATGAAGAAATGGAAGGACTTAATTATGTAGTCTTTCAGTCTCTATGGTCATGAGTGTTTAATTGCAACAGTAACAAGTGGAAAAATTGTACAATTTTCAATAATTATATACCGCTTTCTTACAAGTGTGTAGTTCTACTCTTCTGGGGAATAAGAAAGAATATCTATTTCCTAACTAAAGTACTGGAGAGATTAAGCTTATAAAGTGCTATAGAATCTTCAATGAACAGCAAATCTGAAAATGTGTGTGATACCTTTAATAAAACAGTAGGATTTTGGGGAGGATACTGTTATTAATGTTACACTGTTACTCATTTTTTCCTATTTTTAGGAAAACACTTACTTGATAATGCACGTTTCATATGTGACCCTGTGAGGGGGTCTTGTTGGCCTCACTACATTAGCCTGATTTATTGAGAGGTTTATAATTTTAACACAAATTATGACTACCCTTTTAAAAATGTTTATTTCCTGCGCTTCTTTTGTGGAACAATCTTTAATTTTCCTAACTTATGCAAGATCCTTGCTAGTTAAGTCCTTGCAGCTTTTTGATGTCACTCAATATATACTGTTCTATCTATATATTTTTCCCATAGCCATCTTCTGAAACATCTAAATGTATTGACCTTTGCTATAAATATCACTCTAAATCAGTATGACATACAACAAGATATTCAATTTAATTTCAATTAAATGAAAGCTATCTGATAGATCATGTCATACTCTTAATTAGAAGGTTGTTTTTACAGTGACAGTAGTTCCATAGAGTGGAACTGCTGAACTTCAAGATGTACTGATTCATTTTACACTATGATATTAAAAAAATATAGTGCAGTGATTGTAACTCTGCTTAAAAACTTTAGTTTTTATATTTATTCTGATCTAATCAGTTCACTTAGGAAGTTCTTCATTTCAGCCCTTTTGCATGGTGGTTATTTGAACTAGCTGGAAAGGAAATGTAGTTCATTCTAAAATCTAATTATAATTTAGCCACTGGCACCCTAGTGTAGCATTGGGAATCCTTTGACTTATGTGCTTCATTTTGACTGTAAGTTTGCTGTCCTGATGCTTAACTGACTCGTTAACATGTAGTGACAATTTCATCCTAATTGAGCCATGTATTTAGATTTAGCATGGAACACAAGAAATAGTTCTCAGCTGTGCACCTAATTGTCCCAAAGGCATAATTTTTCAAACATCTTAAATACATCATTTTTAAATTATTACAATAAAAGCAAAGCAAATGAGATTGCTTTTCTTCTTGATTGATATTTTACCTAAGCACAGCCAATTATGCATGGGAAAGGTAGAAGAAAATTAGGCCTCTAGTATATATGACTTTAGCTATTCTGTGAGAAATTGATTCAAATGGCTAGTTAAGAATATAATGGCTAGTTGAGTATAGCATATGCCTGTTCACTCATCTGGCCTTAATGAAGCATTTGCATGCAAATTTAAATACCTTTACGATTAAATATTCAAATTTCAGAGTCATGGGGGTGATTTGGAGGTGTGTCACACACAGTTTCAGGGTAGATTTCCATGAAACCCAAGGAAAATCATCAGTTATACTAATGCAAAATATGAAGGTTGCAACTAACAGCTTGAAGAAACAATATATGCACTTAATCCTTTCTCACTTTCTTTTTGTTCTGCCCATTCCTTAGTATAGATGTGTCCTTGATGTGCTTTGTTCCTGTGCATACCATGCCATAGGTGCACAGAGGGCCTTGGCTTTGTGCAGCAAGCCCTTGGCACCCATCAACTTCTCTGTTTGCCTGTTTCCCTGGTGCTTCTCCGTCTGTTGGTGAAAGACCATGGAACATATTGGAGAAGCAGCAAGGGTCATTTCACAGCAGAGAGGAACAGAGACAGCTGGCATCATTACAAATATTCTCCTCCCACAGCATCACAGAGCCTTCGCACCTTGCAGCTTTTTCCATGGCTTTTAGACATTGAATAAATGAGTCTGTCTCAGCTTTTATACTAGTCATTTTCATAAGGGTTAAACTTAGCTCGGAATTACAGAAATGTGGTAGGGGAAGACTTCTTGCTGTGGAAACAGTTAATTGAATTATACAATTAGGAAATCTGTTTGAATTTTTAGTTAGTCATCCATGGTGGCTGAAACATCAAAGGGTGGGAGGTTGGAAAGGGAAGTTCTGCTCAAATACCTCTATCTCAGTGTCCAGATGGACGTGCAGCTTAGGCTTAGTATCTCTAAGCTTAGGATTCAATGCGATACCCAGCTTCAGCTCAAATTTTATATGGATGTGAAGATATTGAAAGAAATGTTGCTCATAACGGAAATTTAGTTAGAGTGAGAAGAGCTGAAGTATCTGTGCTACAGAGGGATGTCATTAGAGTGTGAATAAAATGCATACGTTGCAAATTTGCTGGCAGAATTAAAAATGACCTTTCAAAATGGTGCAGTCACTTAAAAAAAGTTTCTTAGAAAGCATCAGCAAAGTGAAGGCTTTATATGAGAAATAACTTCAGTTTCAAGCTTGTAATAGACTGGTTAGAGCAAAAATTACCTCATTTAGTGCGTGTGTGCACACAGAGAAGATCTGACTTATATGTCAGAAGCTCAGAAGTTTGCATCCTAAGTAAATAAGTTCATGGCAAAATGTTCTGCATATCAGAACAGTTTTATATATCTGTGAAGGAAAGGAAATTGTTTTTAACATGATATATTGTGATTATAAATATGAAGAATATTCTACTGTTACACTTGCTTTTTCTAAAATAGATGAAATGAGGTATTTAAACTTGTTCCTGATTTGGTTTAGGTTTAGTTCTTAACTACATTTCTTGAACTATAATTAACTTCTCAATCCAGTATGTTTCATTGATCTCCTACCTAGCAGGTTTGGATCTGTCTTGTGGCATATTTGTTAGAATGATTAGTGTTTGCATAATGCTTCACATCTTCAAAGATGATGCAGAGATAAAACTTCATAACAATTATAAGTAGTCCATACTTGCCTGTAGATTGTCATAACTGCATGCACAGAAAATGGGCAATGCAATTGGAACAAAATTAGCATCAACCTTTTTATTTTAATTCTAATCAAACTACTCTCATCCATTTCTTACATAAGTAACTTCACCTTGCTAACAATACTGTTTGCTTATCTTCTTTGAATTAAGAAGTTTAGTTAAATTTCTGGGAATGCTCTCTTCAGAATACTCGGAAACTGAATTGAGAGAGAAATGCACTTTGGATAGATGTGCAATAAACAACTATTTTTATCCATCTGAAATGCTTAATGCACTCTGTTGAATTACAGATCTCTCTATCAAGTGTTATGATAAGTAGCGTATTGTAACAGTAATACTAGAAATACCAAATTCTTTCATCAGTAAAAAGGAAAAAAAAAAAAGCCTCTGGAGCATTTAATGCTGTAAAATGCCATTACTGTCAGTCTGAGTAAACAGGAAGTGTCACAGTCAGAAATTCCTCTAATTTGTCTATCAAAGTCACTGTTGATGGAACATTTCAAAACCCTTTTTGAAGGATTAAAGACTTCTTTTTTATTTTAAATACTTAGCTCTTGAAAGTCTTCTCTGCACTTTGCCTGCTTGTATTTAAGCTTCTTATTGTGGTATCAGTGAGGATAAAGAGGTTTCAGTAAAGCACCAAGTTTACTTGAGCACGAAGCTCTGACTCTCAGAAGATTAGGAAGTTTGAATATTAGCTCTTTTCATCAGTACATCGTGATTCTTAGCACCAGTATTAACTGTGAAGGTAACCTTTCTAAAGAAGAGCACAAAAAAAAAAAAGGATATTTTCAAATGAGGACTGAGGAAGAATCTTGTTCAGTTCTTGTCACTGAGATTAATTGAACTAAACTTTTTTTTTTTTTTTCTTTTGGAAATCTAGTTATTTGTATTTTTGCAAACTGGTATGCATGAAATGACCTGCAATTGACTGAAAAGGATCTGCAAGATATACTCATAAGTGAAGGGTTTTTCTCCTTCACATGTGTTTGGCTGGATTCCTCTCAGTGCAACTTAGCAACCTGAATAAAATAGTAATCAATTTATTTTTTATTTTTAAACAGACTAAGAAAAAGTACTTGGATCTTAGGTTGAGAGTGGATAGCTGTTAAAGTTATTACTGGCTATATTCACTGTCTTTATTGTTTTGTCATGTTTTCTTTTTCTTCTAGCTTTGAATAATTTAGATTGTAACTTGCACATCCTTACCATATTATTGAAATAGTACTTTGTTAATTCATAGAATGATAGAATTGCTTGGGTTGGAAAAGATCTTAAAGATCAAGTTCCATTATCGATGTTCCTGAGGATTCTAGCTTCTGTCCAAATTTAAAAATGAGATACATCAGTGAATTAAAGTGTCTCTTCATGTTTGTTTAGAATTTCCCTTTGCAAAGTGCTTCATGAAGCTTGACCTACCTATAATACAATTTTTAATCCGCTTTGTAATGATTTCTATCTCATTTGTTTGACACAGATGGTTCACAAGCACCAGCCAGGCCCCCTAAACCACTTCCTCGGAGGACTGCACCAGAAATACACCACAGGAAAGCATTCAATTCTGACAGTTCCACGGAAAATGTGGATGCAAAAATTGCAAAACTAATGGGAGAAGGCTATTCCTTTGAAGAAGTCAAGAGGGCACTTGAAATTGCCCAGAATAATGTTGACGTGGCTCGTAGTATTTTAAGAGAATTTGTCTGTTTTCCTCCACCAGTCTCCCCACGTCTCAATCTATAGCAGTGTGAAGATTTTCTTGGAGCATGTGAATTCTACATATACATGTGTGGACTGGGAAATGAGAGGAAGAAGAGAAGAGAATATTTTTTCTTTCATCTTTAGCAGGAGGCTGTCTGTTTCCAGCCGTGCTCATGGCTGCTCTGATCAAGACTTATAAATATGCTGAGGCTTATGTATTTTTGCTAGCCATACTTTTTTAAATCAGGGTTGAACTGACAAAATAATTTAAAGAAGTTTACTTCCCTAGAACTTTTAATCTGTGAAATGCTTTTTCTTGTTTACAAGTTGATAAGTTACAGTTTTCTAGTTGATGTCTGTACTATGTTCCTGTTCATGTCCCCTTGTACTTTTGGTCAGTTCTGCTGTAGCATTCCCAACAGTTTCCATGCTGACCACCCAACAACTAAATCATCACTTTCTAGAAATTCCGTGTTTGCTTTTTTTTTCTCTTACAAGATGCTTTAATTGTTTTTGCATTTCAGCTCAGCAAATGCAAAAGTATGTGGCCTTCACTACTGATTATTTTTTCATACGAGATTCCTTTGCTTTTGAGAGAGGAAATATCTGAATGTAAAATATGTTATGTCTATGAACTGCCTTTTTAAAGGTATTTTTGACAACAATGTTGGACAGCTTTCTGTTTAACATTAATTCCGTGACCTATAATCCTCAAGGTCTTTTATCCGCTGCTTCTACAGTTAAGAACAAAAAATTCCAACCAACAGGGAAAAAAAAAAAAAAACCACTTCTTGCAGTGATACTGAGTTCTGACATGTAAAAGCTCTTTAAAAAATTATTTGATTACAAACGTTAAAAAAAAGCCCAAACACACATGACAGTACTGCATTTTGATTACACACTAATTGCACCTGTTGTCTGTGACCTATGTATTCTGAGGCATGCCAGACTAGAAGGAATCATCATTTTGAATCACTTCAATGGCGTTCAGGTAAATTCCAGTACGAGCTTCTGCAAAATTAATTTTGGAGTGATTATCCTGTGGTTCATTGTGGCTTGGAATTAGTTTGTATTAACTTGGAGACTTTTAAATTCTTGGTGCACTGTTGATTCCTAGTGCTACTGTAGCAGTATGTTTTGGAAAGTTCTTTAACAATCTCCTCCATACACTTTATTACTTTAAAGTGTGTTTCTAATGCCCAAATTCATTCATTCACTTTCCAGCTACTTAGCTTGAATGTTTCTTTGCTTTTGATGGCTAGTGATACTACAGGCTTTGTGTTATTTTTAAGCCCCAGTTGATGCAAGCTAAATTAAATATCTTTCTAACATTAGAAAAGTGACAACTATGTTCCTAGTGCTCTCGAAGTGTAGGGTCTAAATATTTCCAGTAGGAAATTGCTGCTTTCCTGTTTTTGTAGGAGAATTGGTAGCCTGCTCTTCTTCTATTACTGTTGAAAAGATAAAACCGTATGGTAGCTAGAGTATTTTCCATGTTTTGGGATGTGACCAGTATATGACAATTTTCACTCTGTGCTAAGCTACATTTGAGTCATATATTTATTGTTTCCTTTCAGCTGTCGTTTTTTTCCTTCACTCATGGCAAGTGATAGAAGTTGTACCACTTATGGGATCAGATCTCAGCAGCCAATACATTGGTTTTAAAAAATTTCAAATACAGAAAATGTCTGTATTGCAGGATCCAAAATAACTGGGAACACCCAGAGGAAATTGCTGTGATACCTCAAAGTCCATCGTTTCATCAAAGATCTTATTCTTAAAACTTGCTAAATAAATTATTTTGCAGCGTCACAAAGCATACTATATATCTATTGTTAATCTGCTGTGTTTCTGTGATAAAAGGTGATAAGGGGAATTGGATTGCAGGAAGGAGTTAAAGAGTTTTTTCTGCATTAAGTAAATAATGTTTAAATTTATGTTACAGAAAAGGTGCATTTACAACTTCATTTAAATGTTCATTGATTGCCTGCAGCTTATGGAAAGTTTTGTTTGAAGTTATCTTCTGTGCTTTTCATTCAAGTAATTCTCTCTCCTCTGTTTTGGAGGAATGTTTTATGCTTTCTTGAACTCTGTTGTTCATTTGTTTTGTTTACAGCATCACTTCAGCATTTTTGATAACTATAAATTCAAAGTGATTCATATCATTAAAAAAAAAAAAAACAGTACTTTTTTTTTTTTTTTTTTATAACTGAAATTACCTGTGTGGTTCCAGTATAACTGCCAGTTTGGCAGTGATGGCAATGAACAAAAGAAAGTTTTAAAGGGATGAGAGAAGAGTCTATAGATTATAAAGCAGAGCTCTCTATTCTTCTCATTTTTGTGCAGCATCTTAGTACAAATGAGACCTTTTTGTTTCGACTAGAGGCTGGAATTGCTGCCTGATAAATTAATGTTTTTAAATTTTTTTCATTCTGGTTGTGACCAGCAGTGACTTTTTTCCTTTTTTTTTCCTTTTTTTTTTCCTTTTTTTTTTCCTTTTTTTTCCCTTTTTTTTTCTTTTTTTTCCCTTTTTTTTCCTTTTTTTTCCTTTTTTTTCCTTTTTTTTCCTTTTTTTCCTTTTTTTCCTTTTTTTCCTTTTTTCCTTTTTTCCTCTTTTCCTCTTTTTTCCCTTTTTTTCCTTTTTTTTCCTTTTTTTTCCTTTTTTTCCTTTTCTTTCCTTTCTTTCCTTTCTTTCCTTTCTTTCCTTTCCTTTCTTTCCTTTCTTTCCTTTTTTTCCTTTTTTTCCTTTTTTTTCCTTTTTTTTCCTTTTTTTTTCCTTTGTTTTTTCCTTTGTTTTTCCTTTGTTTTTTTTCCTTTTTTTTCCTTTTTTTCCCTTTTTTTTTCCCTTTTTTTTTTTCCTTTTCCCTTTTTCCTTTTCCTACATGATAAAAAAGCTCAATGAGCAGTATTCTTAATGATGACTTAAAAAGAGTTCCTTTAATCCTTGAATGAGCATGCCATTAATGCTTCTAAGTTGTTGAATGTGAAGACTGTTTCAAACCTGTTTTGGTTGGCAATCAAGTCAAACAGTGAAATTGTTTTGCTAGAGTGTTGATGTTTACTCTGCAGAAATTAATAGGCTTAATTAATCTGACTACAGTGTAATTATGTAAACGTTTTTACCTTTTTAAAGACCTAAGGGTTTGAGTCTGGCAGTGTTATGCACGTATATAGCTTTAAGCAAACCTGGCTAGTGAGACTGCTTGAATGAACAAAGTTGGTTAAATTTAGAAATGTGTGCTATAACGGTTAAGGCTACAGGAATATTTCTTCCAAATAAATGTCACTGAAGGCTTTAGACCACCATTCTGATGTCTGTAAGGCCTCACCTTTTATCTTCTCCTTGTGAAATTACTGCATTTCAAGCAAATTAGCTGAATTAATGCTCAGTATCTGAAGAGTACATCTGGCACGGATTTTTTTTCATAATCATGTGAATTTAGGAAGTTTTGTACCAGGATCATTTCTTCTGTTTTATTTGTCATGTTTTCAGCTTGAAGTTTTACTTTGCACTGATCACTCTGACCTGAAAGCATTTAAATTTGTGTCTTAAAGCTTGACAAATTTTGAAGCAGATATGAATAGTGTATTCTAAGCAGATTCAGTTACTGCCTGCTGACCTGGAATTTAGTGTATATAGGAATGATTTCTTGAAAAAGGACTTTGTTAGTTTCCATTTTGAAGGTTTTTCTTCCAAATAACTATTTTATCTGAAAATGCCTTTTATAAACTTGTCTAACATGTGGCAAACTTAGTGATGTGTTCGATTAATTTATATTTTATTCAACATTCTTTTTTAATTTTGGTTACTATGTAAGCTCAAGTTCTTTATCTGTTCTTGTAAGGTATTTTATAAAATTAATGTTAACAGAATGTTGGGTTGCTCTGTGATTTTTCAAGACTGTGTCTTTCTATTGTTGAGTGTTAACACTTTTCATATGCTGGCGTAGAAACACAGACTACTCTATGTGGGTATCTTACGAGCCGTTGGCTTGTAAGTCATAAAAGGGAGGCATCACTCTAAAATAAGTTGTATCACTGCATTTAGACATTTGCTTTGCATCCTCCCCTTCACTTATAAATTTCAGTTGTAAAAATTGACTACAACTTCAGAATGTGTATGCAACAGTTCTAAAGCAGAAAGGTAATCATTGAATCATAGAGAATGGCTTAGGTTGGAAGGGATCTTAAAGATCAGTGCTTCTGCCCTGGCACAAAATCAGACTGCCCAGGGCCCCATCCCACCCTGGACTTGAGCACCTCCAGGAATGGGGCACCCACAGCTCTCTGAACATCTGTGCTACAGCCTTGCTGTCCTCTGAGTAAAGAATTTCTTCCTAACATTTAACCCCAGTTTCCCCTCTTTTTAGTCTAAAGACATTCTCCCTTGTCCAATCACTATTAGACCGTATAAAAAGTCACTCCCACTTCTGCTTAACGATCATCAAAAGTGATTAACATGTAGTCTAATTGTACAGGATTTTTTTTTGTGATGAAAATTACAACAGACTTGCACTGATATTGCATTAACATCCTGTGCATTCTGAACTATTACATTCTTAATGTAAAAAATATTTCAGGATTATAAAACATTTTCTTTTCCTGTTAGTGTATTCCATCCTTCTGAGAAAGTTTAGAATACCTAACCCCATTCTGCTATACATGATAATACAGCTATTACTATTTAAAGCCAGTTCCTGAAGGTAGGATTAGACCTCCAATTATGAGATTTTCATGCTACTTTCTTCTATCCACGTTAAATTCTTGTCCATTATATGGATCACTAGATGTGTTACTGAGTGGGAAAGGTAACTGTTTGATATTCTCATCCTTAGTTCCAAAGCTGCCTATTTTTTTCGTATTTCTTCTTCTGATGTGAAAGACATCTGTCTCTTTGTTATGTCACGTTTTAGCAGCTGGGTGCCCTGCTAGTCACAGTGTCATGAGAGTTGGGAGGGACCTCTGGAGATCAAGTCTGCTCCCCATGCTAAAGCAGGTTCCTTAGGGTAAACAGGAAAGCGTCCAGAGGAGATTCCACAACCTCTATGGGCAGTCTTTTCCTCATATTTGTATGGAACTTTCTTTGTTCTATTTTACGTCCACTGCCCCTTGTTCCGTTGCTGGGCACCTTCAAAAAGAACTTGGCCCCATCTTCTTGATATGGATCTGTTGGAGCAGGTCCAGAAGAGGTCCACAAAAATTATTCAAGAAATTGAACACCTCCGTTATGAGGACAGTCAGAGAGAACTGGGGCTGTTCAGCTTGGATAAGAGAAGGCTCCAGAGAGACCTGTTGTGATAGGACAAGGGGAAATTGTTTCAGTCTAAAATGGGGGAGATTTAGATCAGATATAAGAAAAAAGGGTTGGTTTGGTTTGTTTTTTTTTACAATAAAGGGTAGTGTAGCACTGGAACAGGTTGCCCGGAGAGGTGGTGGAGTTCCTGGAGACATTAAAGGTTGGAATGTT